CACGAATATGTCCAGTCCTTGTCCCTACTCCTTTACCAAGTCCAACATTCAATCGCATCCGTGTTCAGACGTCAACACTCCGAACATTCACATACAAGCACGAGGCAGTGTTCCATCTTCCACGCGACATCTCTGAACACGTGACTTCAGCCGTTTCCCTCGTGGTCTCTCGCCGCTAACTCTGAGTAGTAGTTGTTGATTACCTGTGTAGCCGGTGTCGTCAAATATTCTTCACATTCAGACGGAATCACAAACACGTCCTCTCACTCCAATTGGCAAACACATACTGTCTAATCAGAACGTGATCTGACTTTATAGCCAGGCGTTGGACTCCATGTGGTTATTCTCCCCTCCTTGAGAACCTCGTTTTCTCCGAGTATTTGGCTTCTCTCGGTTTTCTGTTGTTTGTCGAAATTTCCCCCTACCTTCTTAATCAGGGAATCCCCGTGTGAAAAGAATGGACGAATACACCAGTAGACATGCATGGCATCTCTAAGGTTGTCATCACACTCGGTAGGTACTGCAGGGATCAAATTCCTGCGGCGGTAGACACAGAAGTAAGGGAACTGATAGATCAGCATTCAGACCCAGAAGATACCATCATCTACACAGATGGATCCGTGAAGCACGGATCAAGGTCAGCATGGGCATACACCGCGCAAAGAAGGGGAAAAACAATACATGAGGACAGCGGCGCTTACCAGACAACCACGTCAAGCATGACAATGGAAATAGCCGCTGCTTCTAGAGCTTTAGCATGGGTATCCGAGCAAACCGCCACACAGGCAGTAATTGTCTCAGACTCAATGAATATGCTTCAGAAAATAGCAACAGGCAGTATGCGCTCTGAATGGATAGAAAGCATTCGGAAATCGCACCTAACCTCCGTAACCTGGATATACACACCGGGTCATGCGGGCGTAAAGGGAAATGAGTGAGCGGACCAACTGACAAGCACTGCACTAATGATTGCGGGAAAAAGCATGGACAGAGCAGATAAAGTCAACGTTGTACGAACTGGGCTAGTGGAGAATGAGGAATCCCTGACACTAACACGATTGCATGACATGGGAGTTAAGCATGGTGATGCACGTCTTTGTCGTCTTCGAGACCGAGAAAGGAGACAATATAACCAGCTTCTCGTGGGGACAATTAGTAGAAGTACTTTGGAGTGGCTGCTGCTTCGGAGAACTGAGCACGCATGGGTATGCCCAATGGGCAGTGACAACAATTGTGATAACAAAACATAAAATAACATCTTGTAGGGAGTCGGCAGTCAAGTTCAAGGTGTCTTCTTCGTGCCAAAGAACTGCACGGCTGTTCGGTGAATAGTCGTTAACGAAGGCAGGCAGGTCGTTGTAGGAGCGATGCCTGCTGGTGGATGTAATGTCCTAAGTCCCTTCCCCAGCTAATAATGAGGGTACTGCTGGGGTGACCGTTAATTAACCCTCATATAATGCTTTAGGTCAAAATGGACGCTAGGCACGGCCACCTTTTTTTAAGCCGTAGCAAATGTGTTTTTTTTTTTCCAGACGGTGGCCGTTGCATTTTTGTTCCATTTGTAGACTGGAAGGATATAGTTTCGTCGCCCGGCTTCTGAGTTGAGTGCATGGCGTGACACTGTTGGCCACGTGTGTTTTTCGTTGGCACAGCAGTGGAGCAACTATGGGGTGACCCGTTTGCTATGAAGCTGAAACTAGGATTACCAGATTACCTGTTAACTATGGGAGTTGGTTGTGTTAGCCTGATCAGGCGTTTGCAGGCAAACGGTGGTTGCTGGTTTGATCTCAGGACTATTGATCACACTAGTGTTGCCACTTTGGATGTTTTACATCCAGATTTAGATGTTTTCCCTTGCATTTAGATGGCGTTTTTGATGTTTAGATGGTAGATGTTTTTCTATATTTGTTTTCCATTTGGAGTGAATTTATTAAATCTAACCTAAGAAACAGAATGAAATTTGACCTCTTAAATGCTATCTTGACAATAAAATGCGACCTGATAAGAGTAGGAAAAGGCTGTTCCACTTATCAGCTCCACGATTGGGTATTAAAAGAAATTGGAACAGCTAAAGCATACCAGTGTCATTTTGGATCTGAAGCTTCAACATCATCCAAGCTAAGTTTATCCTGTGGATCTTGTGAGGCAGACTTGAGTAAAAATGAGGACATGATTTTATCTATAGGGTAAGTCATATCAATAGCTATGTAATTTGTGACTCTTTCCATTTGGATGTTTTTTCTAGATGTTTTCCACGCAAATTTAAAAGTTTTTAGTTATTTTTTGACTCCGTTTTGAATGTTTTTGTCAAAGAAAAGTGGCAACACTGGATCACACACAGAACGATGATCATCCGTGAGAAGTGAATTTCAGAACATGTTACGTACATGCCTTTGACACACAATAGACATTTCTCTCTCTGAGACAGACACAAACATCTCATTCTGGGACAGACACAAACATCTCATTCTGGGACAGACACAAACAACTCATTCTGAGACATACACAAACATCTCATTCTGGGATAGACACAAAAATCTCATTCTGGGACAGACACAAACATCTCATTCTGGGACAGACACAAACATCTCATTCTGGGACAGACACAAACAACTCATTCTGGGACAGACAGAAACATCTCATTCTGGGACAGACACAAACATCTCATTCTGGGACAGACACAAACATCTCATTCTGGGACAGACACAAACATCTCATTCTGGGACAGACACAAACATCTCATTCTGGGACAGACACAAGCAACTCATTCTGGGACAGACACAAGCATCTCATTCTGGGACAGACACAAGCAACTCATTCTGGGACAGACACAAACAACTCATTCTGGGACAGACACAAACATCTCATTCTGGGACAGACACAAACAACTCATTCTGGGACAGACACAAACATCTCATTCTGGGACAGACACAAACATCTCAGTCTCAAACAGATACAGACAACTCATTTGGAGACGGACATAGAAAGGGAATCTGTGATGAAGCAGTCAAGCTATTTGTCTCACACTCTGGAGGACGTGGGTTCATTTCACTGATGTGTGGTTCATTTCACTGATGTGTGGTTCATTTCACTAATGTGTGGTTCATTTCACTGATGTGTGGTTCATTTCACTGATGTGTGGTTCTTTTCACTGATGTATGGTTCTTTTCACTGATGTATGGTTCAGTTCACTGATGCAGTTTTTATGAAGTTTCCTGGGGACCATTGCTGGAGCTGAGGGGTTTGTGCTTTGTGTGATACTCTTACTAGGCACAGCTGTCTGCAGAGAGAAACAATTATATGGGATAACCCAATGCATTAACTCTTTGAGTCCCAGCGGGTTTAGCATCACAGGCCCAGGGGGTAGTAAAGAAAGTAATAAACTCCACGTATCATGCGTTAATTGGGCTTCTAGGTAGGAAGCTATGAACGCATGATGCGTTCCTTGGGACTCAAAGAGTTAAAGTTGATGGTTACAACTGGAACTGTGGGACACAGAGACAGAACTGTTCATACTTCTCCCCAGGATCCACAGCCTGGCCAGGAGAAACAACACAACCGCACAACGCAACTGCACAGCCGCACAACATAAGGGCACAACACAACGCTGACAGCAAAGAGGGTTACACAATGTTAACTGTTATGTATTTTCAGGAAGACAAAATATTTTGATAAATATTTACAATCTACAAACATAAATGTGGACGGACAACTGACAGATCACATGTATGAATGTGGACAGACAACTGACAGATCACATGTATGAATGTGGACGAGCAACTGACAGATCACATGTATGAATGTGGACTGACAACTGACAGATCACATGAATAAATGTGGATGGACAACTGACAGATCACATGCATGAATGTGGACGAACAACTGACAGATCACATGTATGTAAGTGGACGGACAACTGACAGATCACATGTATGTATGTGGACAGACAACTGACAGATCACATGTATGTAAGTGGACGGACAACTGACAGATCACATGTATGAATGTGGACAGACAACTGACAGATCACATATATGAATGTGGACGGACAACTGACAGATCACATGTATGAATGTGGACGAACAACTGACAGATCACATGTATGTAAGTAGACGAACAAATGACAGATCACATGTATGAATGTGACAGACAACTGACAGATCACATGTGTAAATGTCGACGGACAACTGACAGATCACATGTATGACTGTGGACAGACAACTGACAGATCATATGTATGAATGTGAACGGACAACTGACAGATCACATGTATGAATGTGGACGCACAACTGACAGATCACATGTATGGATGTGGACAGACAACTGACAGATCACATGTATGAATGTGGACGAACAACTGACAGATCACATGTATGAATGTGGACGAACAACTGACAGATCACATGTATGTAAGTAGACGAACAAATGACAGATCACATGTATGAATGTGGACAGACAACTGACAGATCACATGTGTAAATGTCGACGGACAACTGACAGATCACATGTATGACTGTGGACAGACAACTGACAGATCATATGTATGAATGTGAACGGACAACTGACAGATCACATGTATGAATGTGGACGCACAACTGACAGATCACATGTATGGATGTGGACAGACAACTGACAGATCACATGTATGAATGTGGACGGACAATTGACAGATCACATGTATAAAATGTAGCATGCCTGAATAAACGCCTAATATAACTAACTGTGCCTATCTCATGACATGCTGTAATATAACACTGTCTCAGGAAACAAATGTAATACAGCACTGTCCCATGAAACAGATGTAATATAGCACTGTCTCATGAAAAAAGTGTAATATAAAACTGTCCCATGACTTTAGGGAAGCTGGATCTACTTTGTATCGTTCAAAAGAAAGAAGCCAGACATCAAGAAAGGGGAGTCACACAGCACCAGTGATGCAAGTAGACTACACATTCTCTACAGCTGAGGCCACCCAGATCTTTCTGTGTGCTCAGCTACAGCTATGAGCTTTCTGCCACCTGAAAATATCCATTCAACAAGAAATTCATGAACAAACCCTGCAACCTGAAAATGTTTAGTCAACAAGAAATTCATGAACAAACCCTGCAACCTGAAAATGTTTAGTCAACAAGAAATTCATGAACAAACCCTGCAACCTGAAAATGTTTAGTCAACAAGAAATTCATGAACAAACCCTGCAACCTGAAAATGTTTAGTCAACAAGAAATTCATGTACAAACCCTGCAACCTGAAAATGTTCAGTCAACAAAAATGCAAATACCAAATTTAACAACTATCAGGTTTTAACCTATACTGTAAAACAATGCAACAACAGATAACTAGTTATAAATGTAACAATAACATATAACCAGATATAGATGTAACAATTCAACAACAAAAAACTAGTTATAAAGATGTAACAATGCAACAACATATAAACAGCTTTAGATGCAACAAAACATGACCAGATATAGATGTAATAATGCAACAACAGATAACCAGTTATAGAATCTGAATGTTACTGATGCCATTAGTATCAGAACTCTTTGCTGGCTGCTGAAGATGGGGATGAAGCACTCATGGGAATGCCCCGAGTGCTGTGATGTTGGTTCTTGAATCAAATAAATTTAAAACAAAACAGTGATAGCTGTAACAATGCAACAACATATATCCAGTTATAGATTAACAATGAAACAACACATAACGATTGTAAAATGTTACATTGCAACACTATATAACCAGTATAGATGTAAAAATGCAACAATATATAACAAGTTTTAGATGAAACAATGCAATATATAATAAGTTATAAATGTAACAATGCAACAATACACAACCAGTTTTAGATGTAACAATCCAACAACATATAACCAGTTATAGATGTAATGATGCAACAACATATAACCAGTTATAGATGTAATGATGCAACAACATATAACCAGTTATAGATGTAATGATGCAACAACATATAACCAGTTATAGATGTAATGATGCAACAACATATAACCAGTTATAGATGTAATGATGCAACAACATATAACCAGTTATAGATGTAACAATGAAACAACATATAACCAGTTATAGATGTAACAATGAAACAACATATAACCAGTTATAGATGTAACAATGCAACAACATATAACCAGTTAAAGATGTAACAATGCAAGAACATATAACCAGTTACAGATTTAACAATGCAATATATAACCAGTTATAGATGTAACAATGCAACAACATAAAACTAGTTACAGATTAAACAATGCAATATATAACCAGTTATAGATGTAACAATGAAACAACATATAGCCTGTTATAGATGTAACAATGAAACAACAGATAATCATTATAGATGAAACAATAAAACAACATATACCCAGGTTGTAAACATAAAATACAATAGGGAAACAGTATTAACTAATAGAATCACAAGCAACACTTCTGATGACTGACTGGACTCATAGAGTCCCAACCATCGCGTTGTGTATTCTGTACATTGCTACATTCAATCTGAACATACCAAAGAAAGTACTTCTCCACTAGTCACTCTGAATGTCGAGTCTCCTAGTCATTTATGTCACTTTAGATACAGGCAATGTAAACTCTGGGACTTGTGCTGTGTAAACTCTGGGACTTGTGTTGTGTAAGCTCTCTGAGACTTGTAGACATGTGTTGTGTAAGCTCTCTGAGACTTGTAGACATGTGCTGTGTAAGCTCTCTGAGACTTGTAGACATGTGTTGTGTAAGCTCTCTGAGACTTGTAGACATGTGTTGTGTAAGCTCTCTGAGACTTGTAGACATGTGTTGTGTAAGCTCTATGAGACTTGTAGACATGTGCTGTGTAAACTCTCTGAGACTTGTAGACATGTGTTGTGTAAGCTCTCTGAGACCTGTAGACATGTGTTGTGTAAGCTCTCTGAGACCTGTGGACATGTGTTGTGTAAGCTCTCTGAGACTTGTAGACATGTGTTGTGTAAGCTCTCTGAGACTTGTAGACATGTGTTGTGTAAGCTCTCTGAGACTTGTAGACATGTGTTGTGTAAGCTCTCTGAGACTTGTAGACATGTGTTGTGTAAGCTCTCTGAGACTTGTAGACATGTGTTGTGTAAGCTCTCTGAGACCTGTAGACATGTGTTGTGTAAGCTCTCTGAGACTTGTAGACATGTGTTGTGTAAACTCTCTGAGACCTGTGGACATGTGCTGTGTAAACTCTCTGAGACTTGTAGACATGTGCTGTGTAAGTTCTCTGAGACTTGTAGACATGTGTTGTGTAAACTCTCTGAGACCTGTAGACATGTGTTGTGTAAACTCTCTGAGACCTGTGGACATGTGCTGTGTAAGTTCTCTGAGACCTGTAGACATGTGTTGTGTAAACTCTGAGACTTGTGGACATGTGTTGTGTAAACTCTCTGAGACTTGTGGACATGTGTTGTGTAAACTCTATGAGACTTGTAGACATGTGTTGTGTAAACTCTATGAGACTTGTAGACATGTGCTGTGTAAACTCTATGAGACTTGTAGACATGTGCTGTGTAAACTCTCTGAGACTTGTAGACATGTGTTGTGTAAACTCTCTGAGACCTGTAGACATGTGTTGTGTAAACTCTGAGACCTGTAGACATGTGTTGTGTAAACTCTGAGACTTGTGGACATGTGTTGTGTAAACTCTCTGAGACTTGTGGACATGTGTTGTGTAAACTCTATGAGACTTGTAGACATGTGTTGTGTAAACTCTATGAGACTTGTAGACATGTGCTGTGTAAACTCTATGAGACTTGTAGACATGTGCTGTGTAAACTCTCTGGGACCTGAGAGTTCAGGAAGGGGGTTAAAATAATCAACAGTGAGGTCAGTTACCGGTGGTGATTTCCAGTCAGTAAAACTGCCCTGCATGCAGGAAACTCATTGCCTAAGGATTACGAAACTGTCAATACGTACCAAGGAGTAAGGCCCAATAATGTCAAAGGCTGCTTCACTCATTTGAAAGGGTTGGAACAGAAGATCCACTGACAGGAGGGCCGAAAGCGGTGTCTTTCCCATACTCTTCAGCTCAGCAAATTTGGTGGCACTCTCACGGCGCAGCTGGAATATGGCAGAGAATGTTCAAACACAGTTTTTTCTCTATCTCAATAAAAGTCACACAAGCTGACATAATTGATGTGCTAGTTGAGCATGCTGTGACATATTTCAGATCTTCCAACTAAACTAGCAGCTAGGCAGAGTTGTGTGACTGTGAGTTGGTAAGAAATGAGATGACAGACTTGTGTGACTGTGATGTATATGATGTCATATGGAATGAGATGACAAAGCTGTATGATTGTGATGTCATATGGAATGAGATGACAAAGCTGTATGATTGTGATGTCATATGGAATGAGATGACAAAGCTGTATGATTGTGGTGTCATATGGAATGAGATGACAAAGCTGTATGATTGTGATGTCATATGGAATGAGATGACAAAGCTGTTTGATTGTGATGTCATATGGAATGAGATGATGGGGTTGTTGTGCAGTGACCTCATATAGATTGAGATGACAGAGTTGTGTGACTGTGACACATGTGATGTCACATGGAATGAGATGACAAAGTTGTGTGACTGTGACACATGTGATGTCACATGGAATGAGAGGACAAAGCTGTGAGACTGACATAGGTGATTTAGTATGAAATAAATGAGTTAAATGACTGTCACCTGTTCAACCTCTGTATCTCCCATCTTGTACTCAGGTGTCCTAGCCAGGTAAGACACTGGGTAAACAGACTCCATGAACACCTTGCGGAAAAGCTCCTTCATGTATTCTTCATCTTTCTGTCAAGTAATCATTTGCATATTGACATATATTAAAGGTGTGCAACTACAAACAATAGTGTACATTAGTTAAGACATCAAACACAATTATTCTCACACAATAGAGCATGCACATCAAACACAATTATTCTCACACAATAGAGCATGCACATCAAACACAATTATTCTCACACAATAGAGCATGCACATCAAACACAATTATTCTCACACAATAGAGCATGCACATCAAACACAATTATTCTCACACAATAGAGCATGCACATCAAACACAATTATTCTCACACAATAGAGCATGCACATCAAACACAATTATTCTCACACAATAGAGCATGCACATCAAACACAATTATTCTCACACAATAGAGCATGCACATCAAACACAATTATTCTCACACAATAGAGCATGCACATCAAACACAATTATTCTCACACAATAGAGCATGCACATCAAACACAATTATTCTCACACAATAGAGCATGCACATCAAACACAATTATTCTCACACAATAGAGCATGCACATCAAACACAATTATTCTCACACAATAGAGCATGCACATCAAACACAATTATTCTCACACAATAGAGCATGCACTTTGTGTTGCTCCTGTCACAGCCAGCAATCTCCTTCCTTTTGTCAATCCCCCTCCTACATACTGTCATGTCCAAGAGCTGACAATGAACCAAGAATAAATGTTCAAAAGGAACCAAGTCCAAATGTCCCTAAGGAATCATGCAAAAACTGTGTCAATTGAATCAAGCCCAAATAATGTTAATGAATCAAGTATAAATGTTGTCAATGAATCAAGTACAAGTGTTGTCAATGAATCAAGCCCAAGTGTTGTCAATGAATCAAGCCCAAGTGTTGTCAATGACTCAAGCCTAAGTGTTGTCAATGAATCAAGCCCAAGTGTTGTCAATGACTAAAGCCCAAGTGTTGTCAATGACTCAAACCCAAGTGTTGTCAATGACTCAAGCCCAAGTGTTGTCAATGACTCAAGCCCAAGTGTTGTCAATGACTTAAGCCCAAGCGTTGTCAATGACTTAAGCCCAAGCGTTGTCAATGAATCAAGCCCAAGCATTGTCAATGAATCAAGCCCAAGTGTTGTCAATGACTCAAACCCAAGTGTTGTCAATGAATCAAGCCCAAGTGTTGTCAATGACTAAAGCCCAAGTGTTGTCAATGACTCAAACCCAAGTGTTGTCAATGACTCAAGCCCAAGTGTTGTCAATGACTCAAGCCCAAGTGTTGTCAATGACTTAAGCCCAAGCGTTGTCAATGACTTAAGCCCAAGCGTTGTCAATGAATCAAGCCCAAGCATTGTCAATGAATCAAGCCCAAGTGTTGTCAATGACTCAAGCCCAAGTGTTGTCAATGAATCAAGCCCAAGTGTTGTCAATGAATCAAGGCCAAGTGTCATCAATGACTCAAGCCCAAGTGTTGTCAATGACTCAAGCCCAAGTGTCATCAATGACTCAAGCCCAAGTGTTGTCAGTGACTTAAGCCCAAGTGTGGTCAATGACTTAAGCCCGTGTTGTCAATGGCTCAAGCCTAAGTGTTGTCAATGACTCAAGCCCAAGTGTTGTCAATGACTCAAGCCCAAGTGTTGTCAATGACTCAAGCACAAGTGTCATCAATGACTCAAGCCCAAGTGTGGTCAATGACTCAAGCTCAAGTGTCATCAATGACTCAAGCCCAAGTGTGGTCAATGACTCAAGCCCAATTGTGGTCAATGACTCAAGCCCAAGTGTGGTCAATGACTCAAGCCCAAGTGTGGTCAATGACTCAAACCCAAGTGTTGTCAATGACTCAAGCCCAAGCATTGTCAATGACTCAAGCCCAAGTGTGGTCAATGACTCAAGCCCAAGTGTTGTCAATGACTCAAGCCCAAGTCGGGTCAATGACTCAAGTCCAAGCATTGTCAATGACTCAAGCCCAAGTGTGGTCAATGACTCAAGTCCAAGCATTGTCAATGACTCAAGCCCAAGTGTGGTCAATGAATCAAACCCAAGTGTGGTCAATGACTCAAGCCCAAGTGTGGTCAATGACTCAAGACCAAGTGTGGTCAATGACTCAAGCGCAAGTGTCGTCAATGACTCAAGCCCAAGTGTCATCAATGACTAAAGCCCAAGTGTGGTCAATGACTCAAGCCCAAGTGTGGTCAATGACTCAAGCCCAAGTGTGGTCAATGACTCAAGCCCAAGTGTGGTCAATGACTCAAGCCCAAGTGTGGTCAATGACTCAAGCCCAAATGTCGTCAATGACTCAAGCCCAAGTGTGGTCAATGACTCAAGCCCAAGTGTGGTCAATGACTCAAGCCCAAGTGTGGTCAATCACTCAAGCCCAAGTGTTGTCAATGACTCAAGCCCAAGTGTGGTCAATGACTCAAGCCCAAGTGTGGTCAATGACTCAAGCCCAAGTGTGGTCAATGACTCAAGCCCAAGTGTTGTCAATGACTCAAGTCCACGTGTTGCCTGTGAGCTGTGCTCTTTTTCCTGCTAGTCAATCCATGTCTCTTCCTCCCCCATGAACTTTGACCTTTAGTGTTGTTCTCTCAAAGTCACAGCCATCTTTTTTTTTTTTAATTAAAGCTTGCAAACTAAGTCAAGGTCACCCAACAGTCTATACCATGGCAGCTGCTGACAGCCACATGGCAACAAGCACCAGAAACCAGAATTGCTAATATGAGACATAACTGATTCCACACAAACAATGATAATGAAACTATTGTTGAAACTTGTCCATCTCCCTAGGCTGTGACAAACAAGATCAGTTTTATCATCCAAGGCTGTGACAAGCAAGACACTTATCTGTCTCCCCAGGCTGACAAGCAAGACACTTGTCTATCTCCCCAGACTGACAAGCAAGATCTGCTTTATCTCACCAGCCTGTGACAAGATCAGCTCTATCTCCCCAGTCTGTGACAAAATCAGCTCTACCCAGGCTGTGACAAGATCAGCTCTATCTCTCTACCTGTGACAAGATCAGCTCTACCCAGACTGTGACAAGATCAGCTCTACCCAGGCTATGACAAGATCAGCTCTATCTCCAAGGCTATGACAAGATCAGCTCTATCTCCAAGGCTATGACAAGATCAGCTCTATCTGCCTAGGCTATGAAAAGATCAGCTTTATCTCCAAGGCTATGACAAGATCAGCTCTATCTCCCCAGCCTGTGACAAGATCAGCTCTATCTCCCCAGCCTGTGACAAGATCAGCTTTATCTGCCCAGGCTATGACAAGATCAGCTCTATCTCCAAGGCTATGATAAGATCATCTCTATCTCCAACGCTGTTGACAAGATCAGTTCTATCTGCCCAGGCTATGACAAGATCAGCTCTATCTGCCCAGGCTGTGACAAGATCAGCTCTATCTCCAATGCTATGACAAGATCAGCTCTATCTGACCAGGCTATGACAAGATCAGCTCTATCTCCAAGGCCATGACAAGATCAGCTCTATCTCCCCAACCTGTGACAAGATCAGCTCTATCTGCCCAAGCTATGACAAGATCAGCTCTTATTCCAAGGACATGACAAGATCAGCTCTATCTGCCCAGGCTATGACAAGATCAGCTCTATCTCCAAGGCTATGACAAGATCAGCTCTATCTCCCCAGGCTGTGACAAGATCAGCTCTACCCAGGCTGTGACAAGATCAGCTCTGCCCAGGCTGTGACAAGATCAGCTCTACCCCCCCCCCCCCCCAACCTGTGACAAGATCAGCTCTGCCCAGGCTGTGACCAGATCAGCTCTGCCCAGGCTGTGAAAAGATCAGCTCTAACCAGGCTGTGACAAGATCAGCTCTATCTCCCCAACCTGTGGCAAGATCAGCTCTACCTCCCTAACCTGTGACAAGATCAGCTCTACCTCCCCAGCCTGTGACAAGATCAGCTCTACCTCCCCAACCTGTGACAAGATCAGCTCTATCTCCCCAGCCTGTGACAATATTAGCTCTACCTCCCCAACCTGTGACAAGATCAGCTCTACCTCCCTAACCTGTGACAAGATCAGCTCTACCTCCCCAGCCTGTGACAATATCAGCTCTACCTCCCCAACCTGTGACAAGATCAGCTCTACCTCCCCAACCTGTGACAAGATCAGCTCTACCTCCCTAACCTGTGACAAGATCAGCTCTACCTCCCCAGCCTGTGACAAGATCAGCTCTACCTCCCCAACCTGTGACAAGATCAGCTCTATCTCCCCAGCCTGTGACAATATCAGCTCTACCTCCCCAACCTGTGACAAGATCAGCTCTACCTCCCTAACCTGTGACAAGATCAGCTCTACCTCCCCAGCCTGTGACAAGATCAGCTCTACCTCCCCAACCTGTGACAAGATCAGCTCTACCTCCCCAACCTGTGACAAGATCAGCTCTACCTCCCCAACCTGTGACAAGATCAGCTCTACCCAACCTGTGACAAGATCAACTCTACCTCCCCAACCTGTGACAAGATCAGCTCTACCCAGCCTGTGACAAGATCAGCTCTACCCAACCTGTGACAAGATCAGCTCTATCTCCCCAACCTGTGACAAGATCAGCTCTACCTCCCCAGCCTGTGACAAGATCAGCTCTATCTCCCCAACCTGTGACAAGATCAGCTCTACCCAGCCTGTGACAAGATCAGCTCTACCTCCCCAACCTGTGACAAGATCAGCTCTACCTCCCCAACCTGTGACAAGATCAGCTCTACCTCCCCAACCTGTGACAAGATCAGCTCTACCTCCCCAACCTGTGACAAGGTCAGCTCTACCCAGGCTGTGACAAGATCAGCTCTACCCAGCCTGTGACAAGATCAGCTCTGCCTAGGCTATGACAAGATCAGCTCTATCTCCCCAACCTGTAACAATATCAGCTCTGCCCAGGCTATGACAAGATCAGCTCTACCTCCCCAGCCTGTATGAGGAATTGTTTAAGCAAAAAAAAGAACAGACTTAGGCGAGGCCAATCCTGAATGGGTGGAGCTGAGGACACAATCGAACATGTTCGCTGCCTTACTGACATTGCTCTGGAAATAAATGGATACCTATGCCTCCTGCTCTAAACATTACAGTCCACATCACACTTGATGGAAGCTGTAGAGAGCAGAGGCCTGGCATTGTGGACACTTTAGTCAGAACACTGATTGATGAAAACACAGATGAAGGTGATGCTATAGTTTACACAGACGGACCAGTAATTTGGGGCAAGTGAAGTGTATGTGCATTCACAGTAAGCTCAGGGAGGAAAACCATCCAGGAGATGAATGGTGCCTTTGCTGTTACAACCAGCAGCCTTACAATGGAAACTATGGCTGTTACAAGGGAATTAGCATGGCTTGGTACTGAAGAGTTTACACAGTGTGCATACTTAGTGACTCAATAAATATGCTTTAGAAGACTGATGGACGGGAGGGGAAAAAGGTGGGGGGGGGGGAGGGGCTGCAGCTGGAGCTGGAGCTGGAAGAAATGAATATTTCACTAAGGGGACAAGACATTTCACTAACCAACACAGAACAGGTGTCATCAGTTTTAAGGGGACAAGACATTTCACTAATCAACACAGAACAGGTGTCATCAGTTGTTTTAAGGGGACAAGACATTTCACTAACCAACACAGAACAGGTGTCATCAGTTGTTTTAAGGGGACAAGACATTTCACTAACCAACACAGAACAGGTGTCATCAGTTGTTTTAAGGGGACAAGACATTTCACTAATCAACACAGAACAGGTGTCATCAGCTGTTTTAAGGGGACAAGACATTTCACTAACCAACACAGAACAGGTGTCATCAGCTGTTTTACACTTGTGGAGAATTTAAGAAGGAGATCAGAGCACCTATGGATCTGGAGTGCTATGATGATAATCCTAACTAATTATTAATCATAAGAAATATAACTAAAGAATATGTTAGCATGCAAAACATAAAACACAGTTAAACAATATGTTAGCATGTAAAATATAAAACATAACTCAACAATATGTTAGCATGTAAAATATAAAACATAACTAAACAATATGTTAGCACGTAAAATATAAAACATAACTAAACAATATGTTAGCATGTAAAATATAAAACATAGCTAAACAATATGTTAGCATGTAAAATATAAAACATAGCTAAACAATATGTTAGCATGAGACATAAACCATAACTAAATATGTTAGCATGTAAAATATAAAACATAGCTAAACAATATGTTAGCATGAGACATAAACCATAACTAAATATGTTAGCATGTAAAATATAAAACATAGCTAAACAATATGTTAGCATGTAAAATATAAACCATAACTAAACAATATGTTAGCATGTAAAATATAAAACATAACTAAACAACATGTTAGCATGAGACATAAACCATAACTAAATATGTTAGCATGTGGGGAACTACGCATGTCTAAACAGCATTTGAGCATGCAAGACATGAAATATAACTTAGCATGTGAGGCACTATACGTATCCAAACAATATGTAGCATGCACAACACAAAATATAACTAAACAATATGTTAGCATGCAAGGTACTATACATATCTAAACAATATGTTACAGAATACGTTTTATTACCAGTGGAGTTGGCTCAAGAAGCTAGGGATGAACAGAAGGAATGACAATATAACATATCAGACTCAGAAAGACTATTCAATGTAAACAGTTTTTAGTGATAATGTTCAGAAAAAAGAATTAGTAATAATTAAACATTGTCAAATAAAAGCTAAAAGTTTGCCACAACAAATGAATTCTTGCTGTCAGATCAAATAAATAATTTTCTCATTTAAAAATGTCAATATAGTGGAACACTGCTCACAGACTTGACACTTTTACATTTAAAAATTGTAACATTGCCAAACAAAAGTAACAATTTTATCTTATAAATTAGTAACAGTTTAATTAATCAAAGGAATAATTTTAACTTAGAAATCAGTAAGAATATTGAATAAAAGTAATAATTTATCTCATAAATCTGCAATAATGTTGAAATAAAAATAACACTCAAATGAAAGTAATAATTTTCATGTCTCACTGTTTCAAACACAACATTCAGGAACTGGAGTTTTTGAGCACACCAAATTTGACAGTGGTTTGAAAACAGCAGTAACAGAAAGAATGGTTTTCCTGGAAAACCAGGCAGGGTTGAAACTAGATGACAGTTGACACAGGAGATCAAAGATGTACTAGGTTTTGTGAAACAGGTCACTGTGAAGGTTCCTCACCCTTGATGAGAGGCAGGGAATAACAGGGACTTTAAAGATACCCTAGGTATGGACAGTGAATGAGGCAGGTCAACTGTAAAAGATCTACAGTGGTACTATTTGTCAGACTGACTCTAGTCACGAACATATCGGCCTGTGAAAAGAATTTGGACACAATCTGTGAACAGTGCATCAGTGTACAAACATGGCTCTAGCGCTAAATGTTCAGCTCGTGAACAGCAACTCTGGGAACATTGTTTGTCGTTGCGTTGTTCTAGACCCAAGGTACAAGACATTGTCTGTCGTTGCGTTGTTCTTGACCCAAGGTACAAGACATTGTCTGTCGTTGCATTGTTCTTGACTTAAGGTACAAGACATTGTCTGTCGTTGTGTTGTTCTTGAGCCAAGGTACAAGACATTGTCTGTCGTTGCGTTGTTCTTGACCCAAGGTACAAGACATTGTTTGTCATTGCATTGTTCTTGACTCAAGGTACAAGACATTGTCTGTCATTGCGTTGTTCTTGACCCAAGGTACAAGACATTGTCTGTCGTTGCATTGTTCTTGACTCAAGGTACAAGACATTGTTTGTTGTTGCATTGTTCTTGACTCAAGGTACAAGACATTGTCTGTCGTTGCATTGTTCTTGACTCAAGGTACAAGACATTGTCTGTCGTTGCATTGTTCTTGACTCAAGGTACAAGACATTGCCTGTCGTTGCATTGTTCTTGACCCAAGGTACAAGACATTGTCTGTCGTTGCATTGTTCTTGACCCAAAGTACAAGACATTGTCTGTCATTGCATTGTTCTTGACTCAAGGTACAAGACACCGTCTGTCGTTGCTTTGTTCTTGACCCAAGGTACAATTATAAAGCTTTGATGACAGAAGGGTGATGATAGTGACATTCTGCACAGGCTACACCACTTCCCGATACAGACAACCCAAAGGTGAAACAGGTCATACTTTTAGCCAATATACCACCCGTGCTGCCTGATTCTGGGAAGTCTAGGGTCACATAAAATCTGAAGTGTAAACACACGAAATCTGAACTGTAAACACACAAAATCTGAAGTGTAAACACACACAAAATCTGAACTGTAAACACACAAAATCTGAAGTGTAAACACACAAAATCTGAACTGTAAACACACAAAATCTGAAGTGTAAACACACAAAATTTGCAGTGTAGACACACAAAATGTGCAGTGTAGACACACAAAATGTGCAGTGTAGACACACAAAATGTGCAGTGTAGACACACAAAATGTGCAGTGTAGACACACAAAATGTGCAGTGTAGACACAATGACAGCAGTCTCAGTTGTACAGGTCAAGCTACTAACCTTCTCCTCTCGTTTGACCTCTCGCAACTTGCGGATCCATTCGTGCTGCAGAAATAAAACAATTCTGTTCATGTCAGTAGACCTAGAAATCTGCCCTTTTCTGTTTTACTTCAGAAAGCTAGTCATAATGTTTTGGTCATATTATGAACAGGAAATTGGAACATGATGGAAAGATCTGTAGCAAAAGAAACAGACTTAAACAATGTGAGAAGATTATCTACAACCTTTTGTCACGGCATGCTCTAGTCAGCAACAGAGGTAGGCTATTGTGGCACTAGTTACAATTATAAGGGAGACATAAACCTCTTGTTCTAGGCAGAAGAAGGAATTTGTGGCACTAGTTTTAAGTGTAGGGAGAGAGAAACCTCATGTCTGAGGCAGAAGTAGGAAACTACACCGCTAGATTTAAGTGTAGGGAGAGAGAAACCTCATGTCTGAGGCAGAAGTAGAAAACTACACCGCTAGATTTAAGTGTAGGGAGAGAGAAACCTCATGTCTGAGGCACAAGTAGGAAACTACACCGCTAGATTTAAGTGTAGGGAGAGAGAAACCTCATGTCTGAGGCACAAGTAGGAAACTACACCGCTAGTTTTACGTGTAAATCAATCAGTCTATCAACAAACCAATCAGTCAATCATGAAACTAATAAAAGATTGTGTTGTTATATAACACATCTGAACAGTCATAAGAAATGAATGGCTACAACTGTGGCCGACTGGTCAAGTGCTCTTGCATTTTTCTTCATTATTTATCCAAGTGATTTAAATATGTTGTGCCTTTTGGGCGACATATCCAACTTCAGACACCATTGGTTAGTTTTGTGAGACATGTGCAGCCTCATATGTGTGGTGTCTTCATCGTACCCTGATTCACAGGTTTGGTCCCTAGTCAGAGGATCCATCCAGGGCAACCACATACAGACTGGTCGGCAGGGACACAGCATGGGCATTCCCAGCCATTCAAAAAGGTTTCCATAAACATTGAGCCGACACATGATGCTCTGGTACTGGGCTCACAAAAAACCTGGTCACATCCTGCACATGACTGCTTGACCTCACAACTGTACAATGAAACTTCCACTCATTACAGACTGTGCCCTTTAGGAATCTCCAGGAAGCAGTCTGCAGAGCTGAGACTCTGATTCCCTGCCCAAATAGGTATCTCATTTCCTCAGCATGTTAGACTTCTTTCTTTAGTAATGGCATCTGTTCATGAGGATGCCTGGGACTCTTATTTATGGGTACAAGCTACAGGTATGGCTTCCCTGTATGATCATTACACTCCAACAAGTGCCGCGAGGTAGCCAATGTTTTAATCTTTGGTGTCATACATTATGATCTTTAAGTGAGGCACATTAGAAGCTTTGTTGTCATGCAGCAGGATCTTTGAGTGAGGCACATGTGAAACTTTGGTGTCATACAGTAGGATCTTTAAGTGAGGCACATAAGAAACTTTGGTGTCATACAAAATGATCTTTAAGTGAGGCACATAAGAAACTTTGGTGTCATACAGTAGGAACTTTAAATGAGTATCATGTGAAACTTTGGTGTCATACAGAAGAATCTTTAAGTGAGGCACATGTGAAACTTTGGTGTCATACAGTAGGATCTTGAAGTGAGGAACATGTGAAACTTTGGTGTCATATAGTAGGATCTTTATGTGAGGCACATGTGAAAAGTTGGTGTCATACAGTAGGATCTTGAAGTGAGGCACACGTGAAGCGTTTGTGTCATACAGTATGATCTTTAAGTGAGGCACATAAGAAACTTTGATGTCATACAGTATGATCTTTAAGTGAGAAACATGTGAAACTTTGATGTCATACAGTAGGATCTTGAAGTGAAGCACACATGAAGCGTTGGTGTCATACAGTATGATCTTTAAGTGAGGCACATAAGAAACTTTGGTGTCATACAGTATGATCTTTAAGTGAGGAACATGTGAAACTTTGGTGTCATACAGTAGGATCTTGAAGTGAGGCACACATGAAGCGTTGGTGTCATACAGTATGATCTTTAAGTGAGGCACATAAGAAACTTTGGTGTCATACAGTAGGATCTTTAGTTAGGCACATGTGAAACTTTGGTTTCATACAGTAGAATCTTTAAGTGAGGCACATGTGAAACTTTGGTGTCATACAGTAGGATCTTGAAGTGAGGAACATGTGAAACTTTGGTGTCATACAGTATGATCTTTAAGTGAGGCACATAAGAAACTTTGGTGTCAGTATGATCTTGAAGTGAGGCACATGTGAAACTTTGGTTTCATACAGTAGAATCTTTAAGTGAGGCACATGTGAAACTTTGGTTTCATACAGTAGAATCTTTAAGTGAGGCACATGTGAAACTTTGGTTTCATACAGTAGAATCTTTAAGTGAGGCACATGTGAAACTTTGGTGTCATACAGTAGGATTTTGAAGTGAGGCACATGTGAAACTTTGGTTTCATACAGTAGAATCTTTAAGTGAGGCACATGTGAAACTTTGGTGTCATACAGTAAGGCACTCAATGGACAGACATATGAACCTAAGCAGACATACACGAAGAGTCTCTGTCAAAAAATGTCTGGATCAAGGTTATGTCATATAGTAGGACTTTGAGGAGACAAACATTTGAACCTGAGTTTGTCGTTTAGTAAGATACTCCGCCAGTGTAGTACAGCAGGTGTCTGACGTGTACCAGATGATTCTGGGCACTGGACTTCTGAGGGCCACCAGTTCTAAGATCCCCTGCCAGCTCGGTTTAGGCCTATATGGGTCATTATCCAAAGGATACAACGAGGACGTGTTGCAGGAGTTTCAAACGAGAATCAGTAAAACCAGCACAGAGCCTACTGGTGCCCAAAGTGAATTACTCTCTTTATACTAGGGATGCTAGTGAAGTTGTTTTGTATATTAGGTTTTTACCTATGGACTATCACAGCTGAACAGAGATAAGGACACCAATCCAAAATGCCTCAATGGAGCCTGTAAGTCAATTCTAAGCGGAGATATTAACATTTTTGTGGAGAATGCTACCATAGACAAATTATAATGTCATCTGACAAAAGATTAATTCCGGGCTGTATCCCAGCAAAATATTGGGTTGAAATGACTAAACGTTTACATTTTATGGCAATAACTTTTTTTTAAAGAATCCCTCAGCAACTTTATATCATTACAATTGAGGCAGTGAGACCTAACTGAATATGAATTCCTAAATATGTGTGATGCAATATGGGCCTAATTAACATTTAAAAATTGCTACCAGCTCACTAATTTTAAGTAAACACCGAATAAATGTATGGTTATCTGCCAATGAGCCTGGCAAGCTGTATACTGTATTGTGCAGACTGATAAGGTGGAGATTTGGAACACACAAAAATCACAGATTTCAGGCGATACAATCTAATTAATGTAAAATAATGGCTACCAGCTCACTAGTTTCAAGTAAATACTCAATGAATTCATGATTAAAACAGGTTTGAAGTAAAAGATATCCACTGCCCTGCACTTGCTTTGACTCCATGACTCAATCTTTCTCTGCTTAATGGTTAGCCTCTCATCATTGAGAAGATATCCACTGCCCTGCACTTGCTTTGACTCCATGACTCAATCTTTCTCTGCTTAATGGTTAGCCTCTCATCATTGAGAAGATATCCACTGCCCTGCACTTGCTTTGACTCCATGACTTAATCTTTCTCTGCTTAATGGTTAGCCTCTCATCATTGAGAAGATATCCACTTCCTTACACTTGCTTTGACTCCATGACTCAATCTTTCTCTGCATTATGGTTAGCCTCTCATCATTGAGAAGATATCCACTGCCCTGCACTTGCTTTGACTCCAGACTCAATCTTTCTCTGCTTAATGGTTAGCCTCTCATCATTGAGAAGATATCCACTGCCCTGCACTTGCTTTGACTCCATGACTCAATCTTTCTCTGCTTAATGGTTAGCCTCTCATCATTGAGAAGATATCCACTTCCTTACACTTGCTTTGACTCCATGACTCAATCTTTCTCTGCATTATGGTTAGCCTCTCATCATTGAGAAGATATCCACTTCCTTACACTTGCTTTGACTCCATGACTCAATCTTTCTCTGCATTATGGTTAGCCTCTCATCATTGAGAAGATATCCACTGCCCTGCACTTGCTTTGACTCCATGACTCAATCTTTCTCTGCTTAATGGTTAGCCTCTCATCATTGAGAAGATATCTTTCAACTTATTTACCATCAAGTACACTGCACTCTGCCAAAATAACAATAATTTACCATTTTCATGCCAAAACTGTGTTATATGGCAGCTGGACATCTTTGCCACAATTCCCGGTGCTTGTATGGAAATGATATATTCTAAATAACTGTAATTAGCCCATGACTTAACCGGTCGCATTGAATCGACTGCGCATCCAAACAAAATGGCGTCTCATCAACTTCCGCTTCGGAATCCATTAGCAGGCTAATTCATTTACATCACAATAGCTTTAACTTTCCCTCACATCTGTGACTGAAATCCCCTGGCCACCACTCTTGTGTTCAAATGCCATCCAAGTTGATGTTTGAAACCAGATAAACAAAGGTTTCAGTAAGTAACCAGATCAACAAAAGTTTCAGTAAGTAACCAGATCAACAAAGGTTTCAGTAAGTAACCAGATCAACAAAGGTTTCAGTAAGTAACCAGATCAACAAAGGTTTCAGTAAGTAACCAGATCAACAAAGGTTTCAGTAAGTAACCAGATCAACAAAAGTTTCAGTAAGTAACCAGATCAACAAAGGTTTCAGTAAGTAACCAGATCAACAAAGGTTTCAGTAAGTAACCAGATCAACAAAGGTTTCAGTAAGTAACCAGATCAACAAAGGTTTCAGTAAGTAACCAGATCAACAAAGGTTTCAGTAAGTAACCAGATCAACAAAGGTTTCAGTAAGTAACCAGATCAACAAAGGTTTCAGTAAGTAACCAGATCAACAAAGGTTTCAGTAAGTAACCAGATCAACAAAGGTTTCAGTAAGTAACAAGAAATGCTCTGGGAAGTCAGGTTGGCCCCATCATCCATAAAATACCAAAGTATCTGGGAAAATATGAGGCCAGCCCAGCCTGTTTACTGATTCTCAAAGCATTGCTAGGGTTACAGGGCCAGCCCATGCTGTTTACTGATCCTCAAGGCATTGCTAGGGTTACAAGGCCAGCCCAAGCTGTTTACTGATCCTCAAGGCATTGCTAGGGTTACAAGGCCAGCCCAAGCTGTTTACTGATCCTCGGCATTGCTAGGGTTACAAGGCCAGCCCAAGCTGTTTACTGATCCTCAAGGCATTGCTAGGGTTACAAGGCCAGCCCAAGCTGTTTACTGATCCTCAAGGCATTGCTAGGGTTACAAACTGCTGGCAGTACTTACCGTAAATAATTCCATGAGATCTGGAGTATCTGCAGCATGGGGGAATCCCTTCAAGAGAGGATCATGGATCAGCTCTGCAGTGAGAGAAACATTTACATCCATTATAGTAGAGAATTTTGGATTCTACAACAGAGAATTGTGGATGGACATTACAACAAAGAACTGCAGATTCTACAACAAAATATTGTAGATGAACATTACAATACACACTGTAGTTTCTACAACAGACAATTGTGGATAAACATTACAATTCAGCATTGTAGTTTCTAAAACAGACAATTGTTGATGAACATTAGAAAAGAGCATTGCAGATTCTACAACAATGTATTGTGGATGGACATTACAATATAGCATAGTTTCTACAATATAAAATTTTAGATGAGCACTACAATAGAGAACTGCAGATTCTTCAACAGGGTATTGCAGATGAACATTACAATACAGGATTGTAGATTCTACAATGAAGGTGACCATTACAATAGAGGATTGCAGATTCTACAACAGGGAATTGCAGATAAACATTACAGTACAGCATTTTAGATTCTACAACAGAGAACTGAAGATGAACATTACAATACAGCACTGTAGATTCTACAACAGAGAATTGTAGATAAATATTACAACAGAGCACTGCAGATTCTACAACAGAGAAGTGTAGATGAACATTACAATACAGATTGCAGATTCTACAATAAAGGTGAACATTAGAGAAAAAAGCATTGCAGATCCTACAACAGGGAATTGTAGATGAACATGACAACAAAGTATTGCAGATTCTACATAAGAGAACTGTAAACATTACAGTAGAGCATTGTAGATTCTACAACAGAGAAGTGTAGATGGAGAATACAATAGACGGTTGCAGATTCTACAGTAAAGATGAACACTACAATAGGCGACTGCAGATTCGACAAGGAAGATAAACACTACAACAGAGGATTGCAGATTCTACAAAGAAGATGAACAACACAATAGAGGATTGCAAATTCTACAAAGAAGTAGAGGATTGCAAATTCTACAAAGATGAACATTACAATAGAGAATTGTAGATTCTACAATGGAGATGAACATTACAACAGAGTATTGCAAATTCTATTATGGAGATGAACATTACAACAGAGGATTGCAGATTCTACAATGGACATGAACATTACAACAGAGGATTGCAGATTTTATTATGGGGATGAACATTACAATAGAGGATTGCAGATTCTACAACGAAGATAAACATTACAATAGTGGAGTGTAGATAGTATAACATAAATTGATATAATAATAGAGGATTGTACATCCAATCTACAACAGTGATTACCATTAGGTCAGTCACTTGTTCACATCTGTCCTGTCCTGTCAGGTAGGGTCACTACTAATCTCTGCAACAATCATGACCTTTCCTGAGATTTCTAATCTGATTAAATAGCCATATTGCTGGCATCTCTAATATACTGTTTCTGCAAGGTACACTCTATCCGCAGTAGCATGACCAGTCTGCTTCTAACTTTTAAAAATCCCTCTTGCTGTTAGCCACACCTTGTTTTGTTTTCTTCAGAGAGATTATCTCAGGTTTTGCTTCAGGGAGATTAACTCAGGCTTTGCATTTTTCAAAAAGATTCTTCAAAGAAATTACCTTGAGATTTTGTTTTCTAACAATCTGACTCTAACCCTGATCAGTAATCACCACTGCTAACGAAGACGTTGGAGAGAACACATGCAAACAATCTAAGGCTAAAACATCAAGTCCAGAACCAACCTGTGGAAGCTAAGTCCAATCTGTCCTTCAGGAGAACGTCTGCTAGGCTCTGGCGGTAGAATGAGTAGAGACGGAGGAGGCAGGTGTTGCCCACAAACGTGTCTGGGAGTGTGCTGAAGAATTGACAACAAAACACAGATTTGTCCATGTTTTTACAATATTTCTTGCTAGATAACTTTGTTTCAGTGCAGGTGACACATTTATCTCTGATTCCTACTTCCTGGTCTCATTCATACTCCTCTTTCATCTACACTGGTACATTCCCATTCAGATCTACTTCATTCTCTCATTCTACATTACCACACACTTCAATCCCTCTATCATGCTTCCCGCATTATGACAGGGACCATGCGCGCCTTACCCATATCAGACATAGAAACGATTTCTGGTCTCCGCGCTGTGGAAGAAAGAAGAGACACAAAGCTCCTCAGCCAGCTCTCCAAACACTACCACTTGAAAGAACAACCCATGCGTAGCAGACTGCCAAAACCCCAGAGGGTAATACTGAAGAGAATATGTTTTATTAGGAATGCAAATGTCAAGCTTGCTGACCTCAAACCCCCTCCCACAGTAGCAAATGTGCCATGGAAACCTTACAACCACTGCCTCCTTGGAGCAGAGCACTAGCTAAAGTTAGGTCTTACTCAACATAGAGCACTGGTTATAGTCAGGTCTCACTCAAAATGGAGCGCTAGCTAAAATCAAGTTTCACTCAACACGGAGCACTTGGCTGATGAGAACTGATGTGTTCCCCTGTGACTCTCTTTGTAATACACTTGTGTTCCCCTGTGACTCTCTCTGTTAAACACTTGTGTTCCCCTGTGACTCTCTCTGTTAAACAATCATGTTCCCCTGTGACTCTCTCTGTTAAAAACTTGGGTTCCCCTGTGACTCTCTCTGTTAAACACTTGCGTTCCCTTGTGACTCTCTCTGTTAAACACTTGGGTTCCCCTGTGACTCTCTCTGTAAAACACTTGTGTTCCCCTGTGACTCTCTCTGTTAAACACTTGTGTTCCTCTGTGACTCTCTCTGTAAAACACTTGTGTTCCCCTATGACTCTCTCTGTTAAACACTTATGTTCCCCTGTGACTCTCTCTGTTAAACACTTGTGTTCCCCTGTGACTCTCTGTTTAACACTTGTGTTCCCCTGTGACTCTTTCTGTTAAACACTTGTGTTCCCCTGTGACTCTCTCAGTTCAACATGTGTGTTCCCCTGTGACTCTTTCTGTTAACACTTGTGTTCTCCTGTGACTCTCTCTCTCTCTGTTAAACACTCATGTTCCCCTGTGACTCTCTCTCTGTTAAACACTTGTGTTCCTCTGTAACTCTCTCTGTTAAAAACTTGTGTTCCCCTGTGACTCTCCCTGTTAAACACTCATGTTCCCCTGTGAGTCTCCCTGTTAAACACTTGTGTTCCCATGTGACTCTCTCTGTTAAACACTCATGTTCCCCTGTGACTCTCTCTGTTAAACACTCATGTTCCCCTGTGACTCTCTCTGTTGAACACTTGTGTTCCCCTGTGGCTCTCTATGTTAAACACTTGTGTCCCCCTGTGACTCTCTCTGTTAAACACTTGTGTTCCCCTGTGACTCTCTCTGTTAAACACTCATGTTCCCCTGTGACTCTCTCTGTTAAACACTTGTGTTCCCCTGTGACTCTCTCTGTTAAACACTCATGTTCCCATGTGACTCTCTCTGTTAAACACTCATGTTCCCCTGTGATACTCTCTCTGTTAAACACTCATGTTCCCTGAGGTTAAACACTCATGTTCCCTGTGACTCTCTCTGTTAAACACTAATGTTCACCTGTGACTCTCTATGTTAAACACTCATGTTCCCCTGTGACTCTCTCTGTTAAACACTCATGTTCCCCTGTGATATTCTCTCTATGTTAAACACTCATGTTCCCCTGTGATATTCTCTCTATGTTAAACACTCATGTTCCCCTGTGATATTCTCTCTATGTTAAACACTCATGTTCCCCTGTGATATTCTCTCTATGTTAAACACTCATGTTCCCCTGTGATATTCTCTCTATGTTAAACACTCATGTTCCCCTGTGATATTCTCTCTATGTAAAACACTCATGTTCCCCTGTGATATTCTCTCTCTCTATGTTAAACACTCATGTTCCCCTGTGATATTCTCTCTCTCTCTCTATGTTAAACACTCATGTTTACCTGTGACTCTCTCTGTTAAACACTTGTGTTCCCCTGTGACTCTCTCTGCTAAACACTCATGTTCCCATGTGACTCTCTCTGTTAAACACTCATGTTCCCCTGTGATACTCTCTCTGTTAAACACTCATGTTCCCTGTGGTTAAACACTCATGTTCCCTGTGACTCTCTCTGTTAAACACTAATGTTCACCTGTGACTCTCTATGTTAAACACTCATGTTCCCCTGTGACTCTCTCTGTTAAACACTCATGTTCCCCTGTGATATTCTCTCTATGTTAAACACTCATGTTCCCCTGTGATATTCTCTCTATGTTAAACACTCATGTTCCCCTGTGATATTCTCTCTATGTTAAACACTCATGTTCCCCTGTGATATTCTCTCTATGTTAAACACTCATGTTCCCCTGTGATATTCTCTCTATGTTAAACACTCATGTTCCCCTGTGATATTCTCTCTCTCTATGTTAAACACTCATGTTCCCCTGTGATATTCTCTCTCTCTATGTTAAACACTCATGTTCCCCTGTGATATTCTCTCTCTCTCTATGTTAAACACTCATGTTCCCCTGTGACTCTCTCTGTTAAACACTCGTGTTCCCCTGTGACTCTCTATGTTAAACACTTACTCCATCAAGTCTTTGTGTAGCTGCCGGGACATCTGTACTTTGACCAACAACCTCGGCTGTTTGTTCCCTGAGATCAGCGACACCAGGGCATTGCTTGTTGCTAGAGAAACATAAAACCAACAAAGATGTCGCTATTCCACAATAAGAAATTTTTACAAGTGAAGTGATAGACTTATGGTGAAGCTGGTTCTTCACAAGTGAAGTGACAGATTTATGGTGAAGATGGTTCTACACAAGTGAAGTGATAGATTTATGGTGAAGCTGGTTCTACACAAGTGAAGTGATAGATTTATGGTGAAGCTGCTTCTACACAAGTGAAGTGATAGATTTATGGTGAAGCTGCTTCTACACAAGTGAAGTGATAGATTTATGGTGAAGCTGCTTCTACACAAGTGAAGTGATAGATTTATGTTGAAGCTGGTTCTACACAAGTAAAGTAATAGTTTATGGTGAAGCTATTTCTTCACAAGTGAAGTGACAGATTTCTGGTGAAGCTGGTTCTACACAAGTGAAGTGACAGATTTATGGTGAAGCTGGTTCTACACAAGTAAAGTGATAGATTTATGGTGAAGCTGGTTCTATACAAGTGAAGTGACAGATTTATGGTGAAGCTGGTTCTACACAAGTGAAGTGACAGATTTTTGGTGAAGCAAAAGAAACAATAAAAACCTAAAGCCATAAGGTAATGTTGCTAAAGATGTCAAGAATGTCATGAAGATGGCATCAGATAAACCCCTAGATGATATGACTAAATGTCACTGCAGGGATATACAGGTGGCCGCAGTACCCAGCAATGGAATGCAAGTTGGTGGTGTTGTTGAGCAACACAGAGATGCAACTAGAAGCACAAAGTTAATAACTGTGTGCTCAATGTACTGTGTGCTATGGGTTCATGTGCCGTGTCCTCAATGTGATGTATGCCATGTGCTCAATGTACTGTAAGCTGTGTGCTATGTCCTCAATGTGATGAGTGCTATGTCCTCAATGTGATGAGTGCTATGTCCTCAATGTGATGTGTGCTATGTCCTCAATGTGATGTGTGCTATGTCCTCAATGTGATGTATTCTATGTCCTCAATGTGATGTCTGCTTTGTTCTCAATGTGATGTGTGCTATGTCCTCAATGTGATGTGTGCTATGTCCTCAATGTGATGTGTGCTATGTCCTCAATGTGATGTATTCTATGTCCTCAATGTGATGTATTCTATGTCCTCAATGTGATGTGTGCTATGTCCTCAATGTGATGTATTCTATGTCCTCAATGTGATGTGTGCTATGTCCTCAATGTGATGTATTCTATGTCCTCAATGTGATGTGTGCTATGTCCTCAATGTGATGTGTGCTATGTCCTCAATGTGATGTGTGCTATGTCCACAATGTGATGTGTGCTATGTCCTCAATGAGATGTGTGCTATGTCCTCAATGTGATGTGTGCTATGTCCTCAATGTGATGTGTGCTATGTCCTCAATGTGATGTATTCTATGTCCTCAATGTGATGTGTGCTATGTCCTCAATGTGATGTATTCTATGTCCTCAATGTGATGTGTGCTATGTCCTCAATGTGATGTGTGCTATGTCCTCAATGTGATGTGTGCTATGTCCTCAATGTGATGTGTGCTATGTCCTCAATGTGATGTGTGCTATGTCCTCAATGTGATGTGTGCTATGTCCTCAATGTGATGTATTCTATGTCCTCAATGTGATGTGTGCTCAATGTACTGTGTGCTATGGGCTCAATGTACTGTGTGCTATGGGCTCAATGTACTGTGTGCTATGTCCTAAATGTGCTGTGTGCTATATCCTTAATGTACTGCATGCTCAATGTACTGTGTGTTATGTGTTCAGTGTACCATGTGCTATGGGTTCAAGGTGTTGTGTGCTCAATGTGCTGTGTGCTATACCCTCAATGTGCTGTGTGCTATATCCTCAATGTGCTGTGTGCTATATCCTCAATGTGCTGTGTACTATATCCTTAATGGTCTGTGTGCTATATCCAGCCATTTAACCATTCAACCACCCATCCAGTGAGCCAGTCAAACATTCAACCAACCAAGCATTCAACCAACCAACCATTCAACCAACCAAACATTCAACCAACCAAACATTCAACCAACCAAACATTCAACCAACCAAACATTCAACCAACCAACCATTCAACCAAACAACCATTCAACCAAACAACCATTCAACCAACCAACCATTCAACCATTCAACCAACCAAACAACCATTCAACCAGCCAAACATTCAACTATTAATCAAATCAACCAACTAACTAGCCAGCGGTTCAACCGTCCATCAACCGACCACAGACAGCAGTGAATGCCGTTCACAATGATGTAGCAGTACTTACTTCTTCGGCTGATGTTTGGATCCACTTCCACCCCCTTCTCATAAAAGGTGCCGCCATGTACATACAGGTCAAAGGACTTGTTCACTACCACCGTTCCATTCTCCAGCAGTGGCAGATGGACCCAGCCACAGCTGAATTCTCCTCTCTCTTGAGTACTCTGCAAAATATGACAATCGAATTTAGATGTACTCATGTTCAGTAAATATGATAACCAACTAAAGTTGCATACAAGTTCAAGAAATAGTCACAACCAACTTTAGTACTATACATGTTCATTCACGTAATGACCAACTTCAGCTATTTACATGTTCAGTAAAAAGGAACAACCAACTAAAGCTGTATAAATCTTCATTAATTAGTCACAACCAAGTACAGCTGTATAGATCTTCAGTAAATAGTCACAACCAAGTACAGCTGTATAGATCTTCATTAAATAGTCACAACCAAGTACAGCTGTATAGATCTTCATTAAATAGTCACAACCAAGTACAGCTGTATAGATCTTCAGTAAATAGTCACAACCAAGTACAGCTGTATAGATCTTCATTAAATAGTCACAACCAAGTACAGCTGTATAGATCTTCAGTAAATAGTCACAACCAAGTACAGCTGTATAGATCTTCATTAAATAGTCACAACCAAGTACAGCTGTATAGATCTTCAGTAAATAGTCACACCCAACTTCAGCTGTATAGATCTTCATTAAATAGTCACAACCAAGTACAGCTGTATAGATCTTCAGTAAATAGTCACACCCAACTTCAGCTGTATAGATCTTCAGTAAATAGTCACACCCAACTTCAGCTGTATAGATCTTCAGTAAATAGTCATACCCAACTTCAGCTGTATAGATCTTCATTAAATAGTCACACCCAACTTCAGCTGTATAGATCTTCAGTAAATAGTCACACCCAACTTCAGCTGTATAGATCTTCAGTAAATAGTCACAACCAACTTCAGCTGTATAGATCTTCAGTGAATATATTACAAAAACAAATAAGCGAATATGAACACTGCACAGGCAAAAGTTAAAAATCTGACAAACTATTTCTGAAGAAATATTAACAGCAGACATGACTGGTTCAGAATATTCTTACTCTTTGGAAGGTATTTTTTGGTGAGATTATCTGTGTGGGTATGGGTAAGTGTGCATGCCTATCTCTATCTGTGCATGTGGGTAAGTGTGCATGCCTATCTCTATCTGTGCATGTGGGTAAGTGTGCATGCCTATCTCTATCTGTGCATGTGGGTAAGTGTGCATGCCTCTTTCTCTATCAGTGTGCATGTGGGTAAGTATGCATGCCTCGCTCTCCCCCCTCTGTGTGTGTCTGTGTGTGGGTAAGTATGCACGCCTCTCTCCCTCCCCTCTGTGTTTGTGTGTGTGTAGGTAAGTATGCGTGCCTCTCTCCCTCCCTCTGTGTGTGTTTGTGTGTGTGTGGGTAACTGTGCATGCCTCTCTCCCTCCCCCTCTGTGTGTGTGTCTGGGTGTGGGTAAATTTGCACACCTCTTTCCCTCCCCTTCTGTGTGTGTTTGTGTGTGTGTGGGTAAGTGTGCATGCCTCTCTCCCTCCCCCTCTGTGTGTGTGTCTGGGTGTGGGTAAATATGAACGCCTCTTTCCCTCCCCCTCTGTGTGTGTTTGTGTGTGTAGGTAAGTATGCATGCCTCTCTCCCTCTCCCTCTGTGTGTGTGTCTGTGTGTGGGTAAGTATGCATGCCTCTCTCTCTCCCCCTCTGTGTGTGTCTGTGTGTGGGTAAGTATGCATGCCTCTCTCTCTCCCCCTCTCTGTGTGTGTCTGTGTGTGGGTAAGTATGCATGCCTCTCTCTCCCCCCCTCTGTGTGTGTTTGTGTGTGTGGGTAAGTATGCATGCCTTTCTCCCTCTCCCTCTGTGTGTGTGTCTGTGTGTGGGTAAGTATGCATGCCTCTCTCTCTCCCCCTCTGTGTGTGTGTCTGTGTGTGGGTAAGTATGCATGCCTCTCTCTCTCCCCCTCTGTGTGTGCATGTGGGTAAGTATACATGCCTCTCTCTCTCCCCCTCTGTGTGTGTGCATGTGGGTAAGTGTGCATGCCTCTCTCCCTCCCCCTCTGTGTGTGTGTGTGTGTGTGTCTGTGTGTGCATGTGGGTAAGTGTGCATGCCATTCTCTCTCCCCCACTGTGTGTGTCTGTGTAAGTGCATGTGGGTAAGTGTGCATGCCTCTATCTGTGTGCATGTGGGTAAGTGTGCATGCCTCTCTCTATCTGTGTGCATGTGGGTAAGTGTGCATGCCTCTCTCTATCTGTGTGCATGTGGGTAGTGCATGCCTCTCTCTATCTGTGTGCATGTGGGTAAGTGTGCATGCCTTGCTCTCCATCTCTGTGTGTGTCTGTGTGTGGGTAAGTATGCATGCATCTCTCCCTCTCCCTCTGTGTGTGTGTCTGTGTGTAGGTAAATATGCATGCCTCTTTCCCTCCCCCACTGTGTGTGTTTGTGTGTGTGGGTAAGTATGCATGCCTCTCTTTCTCTCCCCCTCTGTGTGTGTGTGTGCATGTGGGTAAGTATGCATGCCTCTCTCTCTCCCCCTCTGTGTGTGTGCATGTGGGTAAGTGTACATGCCTCTCTCCCTTCCCCTCTGTGTGTGTTTGTGTGTGTGGGTAAGTATGCATGCCTCTCTTTCTCCCCCTCTGTGTGTGTTTGTGTGTGTGGGTAAGTATGCATGCCTCTTTCCCTCCCCCTCTGTGTGTGTGTGCATGTGGGTAAGTATGCATGCCTCTCTCTCTCCCCCTCTGTGTGTGTGCATGTGGGTAAGTGTGCATGCCTCTCTCCATCCCCCTCTGTGTGTGTGTGTCTGTGTGTGCATGTGGGTAAGTGTGCATGCCTCTCTCCCTCCCCTCTGTGTGTGTGTGTCTGTGTGTGCATGTGGGTAAGTGTGCATGCCTCTCTCTCTCCCCTCTGTTAGTGTGTATGTGTGTGTGCATGTGGTTAAGTGTGCATGCCTCTCTCCCTCCCCCACTGTGTGTGTCTGTGTGAGTGCATGTCGGTAAGTGTGCATGCCTCTCTCTATCTGTGTGCATGTGGGTAAGTGTGCATGCCTCTCTCTATCTGTGTGCATGTGGGTAAGTGTGCATGCCTCTCTCTATCTGTGTGCATGTGGATAAGTGTGCATGCCTCTCTCTATCTGTGTGCATGTAGATAAGTGTGCATGCCTCTCTCTATCTGTGTGCATGTGGATAAGTGTGCATGCCTCTCTCTATCTGTGTGCATGTGGGTAAGTATGCATGCCTTGCTCTCCCCCCTCTGTGTGTGGGTAAGTATGCATGCCTCTCTCCCTCCCCCTCTGTGTGTGTTTGTGTGTGTGTGGGTAAGTGTGCATGCCTCTCTCTCCCTCCTCTGTGTGTGTGTGTGTGTGGGTAAGTGTACATGCCTCTCTCCCTCCCCCTCTGTGTGTGTGTGGGTTCATGTGGGTAAGTGTGCATGCCTCTCTCTCCCCCCTCTGTTGTGTGTGTGTGGGTGGGATGGGGATGTGGTATCTGTGAGTGGTGTACGTGCACTTGAGGAGATTATCTGGGTATGTGTAATCTATACATATATATCTAGACTATGCACACTAAGGGGAATGGGGTGATGGGGAGCCAAGAACAGTAATACAGTCAACTGCCATGTATGATGGGGAGCCAAGAACAGTAATGCAGCCAACTGTCATGTATGATGGGGAGCCAAGAACAGTGATACAGTTAACTGTCATGTATGATAGGGAGCTAAGAACAGTAATACAGACAACTGTCATGTATGATGGGGAGCTAAGAACAGTGATACAGTCAACTGCCATGTATGATGGGGAGCCAAGAACAGTGATACAGTCAACTGTCATGTATGATGGGGAGCTAAGAACAGTGATACAGACAACTGTCATGTATGATGGGGAGCCAAGAACAGTGATACAGTCAACTGTCATGTATGATGGGGAGCTAAGAACAGTAATACAGACAACTGCCATGTATGATGGGGAGCCAAGAACAGTAATACAGACAACTGCCATGTATGATGGGGAGCCAAGAACAGTGATACAGTCAACTGTCATGTATGATAGGGAGCCAAGAACAGTAATACAGTCAACTGCCTTGTATGATGGGGAGCCAAGAACAGTAATACAGACAACTGTCATGTATGATAGGGAGCCAAGAACAGTGATACAGTCAACTGTCATGTATGATGGGGAGCCAAGAACAGTGATACAGTCAACTGCCATGTATGATAGGGAGCCAAGAACAGTAATACAGACAACTGTCATGTATGATGGGGAGCCAAGAACAGTGATACAGTCAACTGCCATGTATGATGGGGAGCCAAGAACAGTGATACAGTCAACTGCCATGTATGATGGGGAGCCAAGAACAGTGATACAGTCAACTGCCATGTATGATGGGGAGCCAAGAACAGTGATACAGTCAACTGCCATGTATGATGGGGAGCTAAGAACAGTGATACAGTCAACTGCCATGTATGATGGGGAGCCAAGAACAGTGATACAGTCAACTGCCATGTATGATGGGGAGTCAAGAACAGTGATACAGTCAACTGCCATGTATGATGGGGAGCCAAGAACAGTGATACAGTCAACTGCCATGTATGATGGGGAGCCAAGAACAGTGATACAGTCAACTGCCATGTATGATGGGGAGCCAAGAACAGTGATACAGTCAACTGCCATGTATGATGGGGAGCTAAGAACAGTGATACAGTCAACTGTCATGTATGATGGGAAGCCAAGAACAGTGATACAGTCAACTGCCATGTATGATGGGGAGCCAAGAACAGTGATACAGTCAACTGTCATGTATGATGGGGAGCCAAGAACAGTGATACAGTCAACTGTCATGTATGATGGGGAGCCAAGAACAGTGATACAGTCAACTGTCATGTATGATGGGGAGCCAAGAACAGTGATACAGTCAACTGTCATGTATGATGGGGAGCCAAGAACAGTGATACAGTCAACTGTCATGTATGATGGGGAGCCAAGAACAGTGATACAGTCAACTGTCATGTATGATGGGGAGCCAAGAACAGTGATACAGTCAACTGTCATGTATGATGGGGAGCCAAGAACAGTGATACAGTCAACTGTCATGTATGATGGGGAGCCAAGAACAGTGATACAGTCAACTGTCATATATGATGGGGAGCCAAGAACAGTGATACAGTCAACTGTCATGTATGATGGGGAGCCAAGAACAGTGATACAGTCAACTGTCATGTATGATGGGGAGCCAAGAACAGTGATACAGTCAACTGTCATGTATGATGGGAAGCCAAGAACAGTGATACAGTCAACTGTCATGTATGATGGGGAGCCAAGAACAGTGATACAGTCAACTGTCATGTATGATGGGGAGCCAAGAACAGTGATACAGTCAACTGCCATGTAGATGGGGAGCCAAGAACAGTAATACAGTCAACTGCCTTGTAGATGGGGAGCCAAGAACAGTGATACAGTCAACTGCCATGTATGATGGGGAGCCAAGAACAGAAATACAGTCAACTGCCATGTATGATGGGGAGCCAAGAACAGTGATACAGTCAACTGTCATGTATGATGGGGAGCCAAGAACAGTGACAAGTCTCAAATCTTGTGTGTCAGCTGAGATGTCCCAAGTGCTATAATTTCAATTGTAATTCAACATTCAACAATCATCTTGTTTTGTCAATGTCTTCAGGCTACCCTCTTTCACAAGCATAAGTTGGGTGGAGGACAACATTAATGACAATATTCTAAAATATGGGACTAGGTGTTAAAATATGGGACTAATTGCTAAAATATAACAAGATGCTGAAATATAGGACAAGATGCTAAACACTGGGACAACAAGATGCTAAAATATGGGACAAAAGGATGCTAAAATATGGGACAACAAGATGCTAAAATAGGGGGTATGCTGCTAAAATATAGAACAAGATGCTAAAATATGGGACAAGATGCTAAAATATGGGACATGACTGGTGAGTGTTACATCACATTGCATTAATGAGTCCACACATGAGACAACCCACATGGCCAACAGTCAGACAACCCACATGGTCCACAGTCTGACAACTCACATGGTCCACAGTCTGACAACCCACATGGTCCACAGTCTGACAACCCACATGGCCCACAGTCTGACAACCCACATGGCCAACAGTCAGACAACCCACATGGACCACAGTCTGACAACCCACATGGACCACAGTCTGACAACCCACATGGCCCACAGTCTGACAACCCACATGGCCAACAGTCAGACAACCCACATGGACCACAGTCTGACAACCCACATGGACCACAGTCTGACAACCCACATGGTCCACAGTCTGACAACCCACATGGCCCACAGTCAGACAACCCACATGGTTCACAGTCTGACAACCCACATGGCCAACAGTCTGACAACCCACATGGTCCACAGTCTGACAACCCACATGGCCCACAGTCTGACAACCCACATGGCCCACAGTCTGACAACCCACATGGCCCACAGTCTGACAACCCACATGGACCACAGTCTGACAACCCACATGGCCAACAGTCAGACAACCCACATGGTCCACAGTCTGACAACCCACATGGCCCACAGTCTGACAACCCACATGGTCCACAGTCTGACAACCCACATGGCCCACAGTCTGACAACCCACATGGTCCACAGTCAGACAACCCACATGGCCAACAGTCAGACAACCCACATGGTCCACAGTCTGACAACCCACATGGACCACAGTCTGACAACCCACATGGCCCACAGTCTGACAACCCACATGGACCACAGTCTGACAACCCACATGGCCCACAGTCAGATAATGCACATGGTCCATAGTCACACAATCCAGATTGTTCACAGTCAGACAATCCACATGGTCCACAGTCAGACAACCCACATGTCCCACCGTCTGACAACCCACATGGCCCACAGTCACAAAATCCAGATTGTTCAGTCAGACAATCCACATGGTCTATAGTCTGACAACCCACATGGATTACAGTCAGAAAAACCACATAGCCCACAGTCAGACAATCCACATGGTCCACAGTCTGACAACCCACATGGTCAACAGTCTGACAACCCACATGGCCTACAGTCACAAAATCCAGATTGTTCACAGTCAGAAAAACCACATAGCCCACAGTCAGACAATCCATAGGGCCCATAGTCAGACAATACTAATGGCTGATGATCAGACGATGCAACACAACATTACCTGTAACCTTTCAGCCTAACAGAGAGAAAAAGTTATCGAAAAAAAATACTTATAAATACATATATCCACTAAGAATCATGCACACATATAAGATAAAATTAAACTACGTAAACTTGTTTACATATACAATATATGTAAATTTTAACAGTTAACTCTTCGAGTCCCAAGGAACGCATCATGCGCTAATTTGTTCCAACCGGGCGCCCAATCAACGTGTGACAAGTGAAGGTTTTTAAACTACCACTGACCCGTAATAAAGCGCGGACCACTCATTTTCAACCACGTTTCGAGTTCTTTGGACACTTTGATGTATAAATGTGATTGATGTGCGGCAATTGAATAAGTATGGTCTGTTTTAAAGTGTTACACTTGTGAAATAAAAAAATTGCATTAACACTAGGGCTGTACCGAACAGTGATTTTTACTATTCGGCCAAATACGAATAGCGGGACCAACTATTCAGTTGCCATGCAACAAGACTGTCAAGAATCTTCTCTCATTGTCTTCCTATATCCCCCCTTCCACAGATCTTTCCAGTGGTCACAACATGTTCCATTTTCCCTCTTCTCATAACATGGCCCAAAAAATGATGACTGTCTCCTTCTGATGTTTGTGATTAGTTGTCTTCGGGCCCCCGCCTCTTTCAAAACCTCTTGGTTGCTTATTTTTGGCTGTCCAAGATATTTTAAGCATTGTTCTGTAAAACCACATCTCTGAGGCCTCAAGAAATTGTTTGGCCTGCCTACCGATTGTCCAGGACTCACAACGCATTGCCTTTAAATATAAGTGCTTACTTGCCGAGGCTAACAGTGACTATTGTACAGACCACATTTTCCACTGTAAAATTTCTGCCAAAATGTAATCACAACCTTTCTTATCCGCTGCACCTTCACGAATACAGATGGAGGATCGGTCGCACCTCGAGATAAATATAAAGACAATTTTTAGCGGTTGGCATTTTATGCAGTATGAAACACTTTGAGTGTGAAACAGGGAAAAAAAACTCTTTTCGACAGTGGCTAGGAAAGACATTTAAATTTTAACTTTCAAGTATCTTCATGCCTTTTTTAATAATGTCATAATTTATAGCCGACTTTTCTTGATTTTCCCCGCGGCATCCCTAGCGTACGTACCCAGTTTGAGAACCTGTGCTGTAATGCCTCGGTTGAGTCAGCAGGCAAAGACCTTGTCATCTGCTGTACCACGCAACCGGGTAGCAGTTTTCCCCGCTATGACAGACTTGGGCAACAGCAACCATTGAGTTAATGAGAGAGTTATTTCAGTCCATCACAGTGTATGCAGAAACGGGTGTAATGTAACCACTATTCCTATTCGGCCAGACGGCAAGTATTCGGCTGAATACCAAAAAGTTATTAGGTCCACTATTTAGCCCCAAAGCAAAAAAGAAGCGAATATTCGGTAAAGCCCTAATTATCACCTCTTGGACCTTTGATGCTAACACCCATCCCCCCTTCCCCGGGACTCAAAGAGTTAAGATAAACAATCTATTTCAATCATAACAAAGTAAATATATTTAAAATATCTTAAAGAAAGAAAGCTAACAAAAACAACCTATCTAAATGATAACAAAGTTAACAAACACAAAAAATCTCAATGAAATAAAATTAACATAAGCAAACTATATCAATGATACAGTGTTAACATGAACAACTTAATTCAACAATAACAAAGTTAACATTAACAACCTATCTCAATGATAACAAAGTTTAAAATACAAAAATATCTAAATGAAACAACATTTACATGAACAACATGTCATAATGATCAAAAGTAAACAGAAATAACTTATCTCAGTGAGAACAAAGTCAACACGAACAATCTATCTAACTACAACAAAGTTAACTTAACTACCTCAGTGAAACAAAGTTAACACAAACAATTTATCTGATTGATAACACAGTTAACACACACAAATTATTTAAATGAAACAAAATGAACTCTTTGAGTCCCAGGGAACACATCACGTGCTAAATCACACGTTAATTTGTTTCAAAAGTGCGGCCCCATCAACGTGTGACAAGTGAAGGTTTTTAATCTACCACTGACTGGTTGTAAGACGCGGACCGCTCAATTTCAACTTTCTTTCGAGTTCTTTGTGTCTGATATCAGGCGAGCTCATCAAGAAACATGGTTTAAAAGACAAAAATATAGTATATTTGCGAGATTTGTCGAGTTAATAAATGCTTGTTTGAAAATAATATGGCTGCCAAGCAATACTCTACATACATGCCAACATGATTTATGGCTTTAGAAATCTCAAATTCAAATAATGTAGGTGTTTATTGGAATTATCCGAAGTTAGATAGATACGGTTGCGAATTAGACGTGTTTCAGTCTGATATATATAGTCAAACTTTGATGAGGGATATGTCTAATGCTTACCTCACGCGAAGGGTACTACATAGCAAAGTCAGCTGGCACAAATAGAATAAACATTAGTGAAAAGACGATTTTCTTCAGTGTTGCTTAGTTCTAGTGCTATTTCCCTTATTATTTAGGAACAAAGCTACAAAATTACAGGCAAATTAAGTGTTTTATAAACTTAATTTTGTGTGAAGATACTTATTGTTTCAGGAGTCAGTTTTTCTTTACCAAAGAATGGTGGTCTGTTATGATGCTTTAAAAGATTCTCTGGAACAAAATCTAATGTATAGTTTGATGTTTTATTTTACTTGTATCTTACTAAGTGGTTCATATTCGTTTGTGATTCATTTTCAAAAGTTCAAGAGTTTTCCTTGAGTGCCATGGTGCTAAGTGGGAATTTTTCTTTTTTCAATTTACTAATTTTTTAAACACTGTCTGTTTATTTACTAATATCTAATTACTAAAGCAATTACTTGTTGCAGCTATATTCTATAATTATTCCTCAACAACCCCTAGTCACTTTGATGTAGAATATGTGTATGTTGTGTGGCAATTGAATTAGTATGGTCTGTTTTAATGTCTTACACCTTAGTCCTTTGATGCTAAACCCCCTGGAGCTCAAAGAGTTAACATAAACAACTTATCTGAATGAAAACAAAGTTAACATAAACAAACTATATCAATAAACAAATTTAACATTAACAAACTGTCCCAATGATAACAAAGTTAACACACACAAACTATCTCAATGGAAAAAAAACAACCTATCTCAATGGTAACAAAGTTAATATACATTAGCTATCTTAATGAAACAATATCATACACAACTTATCTCTATGATAACAAAGTTAACATAAACAAAGTATCTCAATGATAAATAAGTTAACATAAAGAAAGTATCTCAATGATAACAAAGGTTAAAAAAAAGTATCTCAATGATGACACAGTTAACAAACAAATTATCTCAAAATTACTAAGGAATGGGAGAAATACTGAATTATTTGTTTCAACAAAATATTTCTACGCTTGGATGGATCAAGAACTATGCCATCAGTGTCATGTGTCTTACCAAACAGTGTAAACAATCTAAGTCATTGCTGTTGTAGATAATTCTACTGATGCTCCACACCACTGCTGTCCCAGGCTCTTCTCAAATCCAACCATCCACTCATGAAGACATAACAATTCCCACAAGTCAAACAACAAATCCCATTAATGAAGACAAAACAATTCCCACTCATGAAGACATAACAGTTCCAACTTGTGAAGACATAGTTTCCACTAGTGAAGTGACAAGTAGAAGTGTAGTTAGAATAAATCAGGAAACATCTAAACCATTCAAAGTAACATCTGGAGTCAGACAGGAATGTGCCTTATCACCACTCCTGTTTATTACCTACACTGACAGTATAAGCACAGATCTCAATATCAGGAATAAAAATAATCGTAACATTAGCGAACTACTCTTTGCTGATGACCAGGCCTTGACTGCAGATACAACAATGAATTTACAACATCTCACATCCATGAATGAAGAATCTTAATTAAATAATATGAGAATCAACATCAAAAAGACAGAAGTAATGTCAATAGGAAGAAAGAAGCAGAATTTAAATATAGCATTAGAGCATACATATATTAAACAGACATGTGAGTGTAAATATTTTGGAACAACATTCATTGAAGATGGTAAATTGGATGAAGAAATAGACATCCAACGCAGTAAAGCAGGCCAGGTATTGGGGCAATCCCAATCAGCACAAAGAAAAATCTTATACAAAGCATATTCATTTCCAACCTATGCTATATGGTCAGACCTGGTCACTCACAACAAAACATAAATGAAAATTAGTAACCATGGAAATAAGGTGTCTAAGAAAGACTGTATGAGTGACCAAAGGAGATAATATCAGGAATGAGATCAAATGAGATAAAGTCAACACAGAACCAATTCTAAATTAAATACAAAGACAGCAAATCAAATGGTTTGCTCACTTAGAGAAAATGTCTTCTGATGTATGGGCACATATAAAAAGAGAAGAAATATTTAGAGCAATGGGGTAGACCAAGAACAAGATGAGAAGATAACATCAGAGAAACTCTACAGCACTACAATGTGTCTATCGTTGAAACAGCCAGAAGAGAATGAGGAAGGATCTTATAACTTCGTTAACACCAAAAGACACTAACGAAGACAAAACAATTCCCACTCGTGAAGACACAATATTTCATACAAGTGAAAACAACAACAATTCCCACAAGTGAAGACACAAAATTCCCACAAATAAAGTCACGACATTAGCATAAATGAAGACATCTGTCTCTCTCTGTCTCTCACTCACCTCAACGCACGCACACACACACACATACACACACACAGGATTTTAAACTTACTGTTCTCTTGTAGGATATGCAGAGTTCAAGCAATACACCTGTAAATCAAACAATGAAATATCATCTCTCAATCAGTCAATAAGTTATTATCTCTCAATCAATCAGGTACCATCTTTCAATCAGTCAGTCAGTTACCATATATTAATCAATGTGGTACCATCTCCTGATCAGTAAGGTACCATCTCCTAATCAATGAGGTACCATCTCTGAATCAATGAGGTAACATCTCTCAATCAATCAGTCAGTTTCCATATCTCAATCAATGAGTTATCATATCTCAATCAATGAGGTACTATCTCTAAATCAATCAATGAGGTACCATCTCTCAATCAATGTGGTACCATCTCCTAATCAATTACCATCTCCTAACCAATGAGGTACCATATCTCCATCAATCAGGAAGGTACTGCAACGTTGTTGCTCGTTTGTTATTCTGGCTCAGTCTATACTGATGACACTCTCCATCTCCTCCGTTTTGATGTTTGTAGTGGTTCACAACTTGCTCTCGACTGACGGCCATGACAGGATTACAACTAAACAAGGAGGCAATTACCTTTCAGTACAAATAATTTATTCATGCGGGGATTTCACATCCAAACCACAGCACCACACAGTTCCCGGTCATTTGACATCACAATTCAGAATCAGTTATAATCGAATCACTCCTGGTGTTTTAGGTATTTGTTTCTTCAGCTTACAATCATCGTTCACTTCAGTCACTCCAAACGAAACCTCTTGCCTCTCACATGGTCAAACAACAACTGCCACTATCTCATTTGCCCTTCAAACCCCTTGTTCCCTTCCCACAGGATTTGGTCTTGTGTCACACATGAATATCACTTCCCTTGCTTGAGAGTGTTCAGTGTCCCACATGAATATCACTTCCCTTGCTTCACCAGTTTCTCACTAGCTTGTAATACTGCTAGTCCTCTCAGGAAACCCTTGGAGCCTGAGAATTCCCCTCATTACAGGTACCCTGTCTCAATCAGCCAATGAGTTATCATCTCTCAATCAATGAAGTACCATCTCTCAATCAATGAGGTACCATTTCTCAATCAATGAAGTACCATTTCTCAGTTAATGAGGTACCATTTCTCAATCAATGAAGTACCATTTCTAAATCAATGAAGTACCATTTCTCAATCAATGAAGTGCCATTTCTCAATCAATGAAGTACCATTTCTCAGTTAATGAGGTACCATCTCTCAATCAATGAAGTACCATCTCTCAATCAATGAGGTACCATTTCTCAATCAATGAAGTACCATTTCTAAATCAATGAAGTACCATTTCTCAATCAATGAAGTACCATTTCTCAATCAATGAAGTACCATTTCTCAGTTAATGAGGTACCATGTCTCAATCAATGAGGTACCATTTCTCAATCAATGAAGTACCATTTCTCAGTTAATGAGGTACCATCTCTCAATCAATGAAGTACTATTTCTCAATCAATGAAGTACCATTTCTCAGTTAATGAGGTACCATTCTCAATCAATGAGGTACCATTTCTCAATCAATGAGGTACTATTTCTCAATGAATGAGGTACCATTTCTCAATCAATGAGGTACCATTTCCCAATCAATCAATCAGGTACCATCTCTCAATCAATGAAGTACCATTTCCCAATCAATGAGGTACCATTTCCTAATCAATCAGTGAGGTACCATCTTTCAAAAAATCAGTGAGTTATTATCTCTCAATCAATCAGGTACTATCTCTCAATCAGTCAATAACTTAATATCTTTTAATCAATGAAGTACCATCTCTCAATTAATAAGGTTTCATCTCTCAATGAGTCAATGAGTTATTAGCTTTCAATCAATGAGGTACCATCTCTCAATCAATGGGGTCCCATCTCTCAGTCAATGGGGTCCCATCTCTCAGTCAATGGGGTACCATCGCTCAGTCAATAGGGTCCCATCTCTCAGTCAATGGGGTTCCATCTCTCAATCAATGGGGTCCCATCTCTCAGTCAATGGGGTACCATCTCTCAGTCAATGGGGTCCCATCTCTCAGTCAATGGGGTACCATCTCTCAATCAATGGCGTCCCATCTCTCAGTCAATGAGGTACCATCTCTCAATCAATGGGGTCCCATCTCTCAGTCAATGAGGTACCATCTCTCAATCATACAGAATACATAAATCTGCAAGAGATCTGTTTTGTCTCAATGATTATGATGATGATCATCACGATGTAAACAATGATGCTAACAATTTATAAAGAAAAATAATAGTTACCTAAGTTATCGGAAGTGTTGTTAGTTCTCTTACCTAAGTTATCGGAAGTGTTGTTAGTTCTCTTACCTAAGTTATCGGAAGTGTTGTTAGTTCTCTTACCTAAGTTATCGGAAGTGTTGTTAGTTCTCTTACCTAAGTTATCGGAAGTGTTGTTAGTTCTCTTACCTAAGTTATCGGAATTGTTGTTAGTTCTCTTACCTAAGTTATCGGAAGTGTTGTGAGTTCTCTTACCTAAGTTATCGGAAGTGTTAGTAGTTCTCTTAACTAAGTTATCGGAAGTGTTGTTAGTTCTCTTACCTAAGTTATCGGAAGTGTTGTTAGTTCTCTTACCTAAGTTATCGGAAGTGTTGTTAGTTCTCTTACCTAAGTTATCGGAAGTGTTGTTAGTTCTCTTACCTAAGTTATCAGAAGTGTTATTAGTTCTCTTACCTAAGTTATCGGAAGTGTTGTTAGTTCTCTTACCTAAGTTATCGGAAATGTTGTTGGTTCTCTTACCTAAGTTATCGGAAGTGTTGTTAGTTCTCTTACCTAAGTTATCGGAAGTGTTGTTAGTTCTCTTACCTAAGTTATCGGAAGTGTTGTTGGTTCTCTTACCTTAGTTATCGGAAGTGTTGTTGGTTCTCTTACCTAAGTTATCGGAAGTGTTGTTGGTTCTCTTACCTAAGTTATCGGAAGTGTTGTTAGTTCTCTTACCTAAGTTATCAGAAGTGTTGTTGGTTCTCTTACCTTAGTTATCGGAAGTGTTGTTGGTTCTCTTACCTAAGTTATCGGAAGTGTTGTTGGTTCTCTTACCTAAGTTATCGGAAGTGTTGTTGGTTCTCTTACCTAAGTTATCAGAAGTGTTGTTAGTTCTCTTACCTAAGTTATCGGAAGTGTTGTTGGTTCTCTTACCTAAGTTATCGGAAGTGTTGTTGGTTCTCTTACCTAAGTTATCGGAAGTGTTGTTAGTTCTCTTACCTAAGTTATCGGAAGTGTTGTTGGTTCTCTTACCTAAGTTATCGGAAGTGTTGTTGGTTCTCTTACCTAAGTTATCGGAAGTGTTGTTGGTTCTCTTACCTAAGTTATCGGAAGTGTTGTTGGTTCTCTTACCTAAGTTATCGGAAGTGTTGTTGGTTCTCTTACCTAAGTTATCGGAAGTGTTGTTGGTTCTCTTACCTAAGTTATCGGAAGTGTTGTTGGTTCTCTTACCTAAGTTATCGGAAGTGTTGTTAGTTCTCTTACCTAAGTTATCGGAAGTGTTGTTGGTTCTCTTACCTAAGTTATCGGAAGTGTTAGTAGTTCTCTTACCTAAGTTATCGGAAGTGTTGTTAGTTCTCTTACCTAAGTTATCGGAAGTGTTGTTAGTTCTCTTACCTAAGTTATCGGAAGTGTTGTTAGTTCTCTTACCTAAGTTATCGGAAGTGTTGTTGGTTCTCTTACCTAAGTTATCGGAAGTGTTGTTAGTTCTCTTACCTAAGTTATCGGAAGTGTTGTTGGTTCTCTTACCTAAGTTATCGGAAGTGTTGTTGGTTCTCTTACCTAAGTTATCGGAAGTGTTGTTGGTTCTCTTACCTAAGTTATCGGAAGTGTTGTTGGTTCTCTTACCTAAGTTATCGGAAGTGTTGTTGGTTCTCTTACCTAAGTTATCGAAAGTGTTGTTGGTTCTCTTACCTAAGTTATCGGAAGTGTTGTTAGTTCTCTTACCTAAGTTATTGGAAGTGTTGTTAGTTCTCTTACCTAAGTTATCGGAAGTGTTGTTAGTTCTCTTATCTAAGTTATCGGAAGTGTTGTTAGTTCTCTTACCTAAGTTATCGGAAGTGTTGTTAGTTCTCTTACCTAAGTTATCGGAAGTGTTGTTAGTTCTCTTACCTAAGTTATCGGAAGTGTTGTTAGTTCTCTTACCTAAGTTATCGGAAGTGTTGTTAGTTCTTTTACCTAAGTTATCGGAAGTGTTGTTAGTTCTCTTACCTAAGTTATCGGAAGTGTTGTTAGTTCTCTTACCTAAGTTATCGGAAGTGTTGTTGGTTCTCACAAAAAACTCTCCATGCATGTGAGGGTCCATCAAGTCATGAACCTGTCAATAAAACATACAACTTGTTGTTATAACTTGTTATAGTAGCAGTTTTGTTATAACTTGTTATAGTAGCAGTTTTGTTATAACTTGTTATAGTAGCAGTTTTGTTATAACTTTTTATAGTAGCAGTTTTGTTATAACTTGTTATAGTAGCAGTTTTGTTATAACTTGTTATAGTAGCAGTTTTGTTATAACTTGTTATAGTAGCAGTTTTGTTATAACTTGTTATAGTAACAGTTTTGTTATAACTGGTTTTAGAAACAATTTTGTTATATAACGTATAAAAACAATTTTGTTATAAGTGGTTACAGAAACAGTTTTGTTATAACTGGTTATAGTAACAGTTCTGTTATAACTTGTTTAGTAAGTTTTGTTGTAACTGGTTATAACAACAGTTTTGTTGTAACTTGTTACAGTAACAGCTTTGTTATAACTGGCTACAGTAACAGTTTTCTTACAACTGGTTACAGTAAAAGTCTAGCTGTAACTGGTTATAGTAACAGTTTTTTTTATCACTGGTTACAGTACCCCTTTTTTTATAACTAGCTAAAGTAACAGTTTTCTTTTTAACTGGCTACAGTAACAGTTTTCTTTTAACTGGCTAAAGTAACAGTTTTCTAATTACTGGCTACAGTAACAGTTTTCTTTTAACTGGCTACAGTAACAGTTTTCTTTTAACTGGCTACAAGATATAGCTTGTATTACTTCATTAGTAAGATGTTACCTGGTCCTGGATATTTACATGTCTCCATGTTCTGTAGTGAGATGTTACCTGGTCTAGGATATTTACATGTCTTCATGTTCTGTAGTGAGATGTTACCTGGTCCTGGACATTTACCTGACTTCATGTTCTGTAGTGAGATGTTACATGGTCCTGGGCATTTACATGTCTCCATGTTCTGTAGTGAGATGTTACCTGGTCCTGGGCATTTACATGTCTCCATGTTCTGTAGTGAGATGTTACCTGGTCCTGGATATTTACCTGTCTTCATGTTCTGTAGTGAGATGTTACCTGGTCCTGGATATTTACCTGTCTTCATGTTCTGTAGTGAGATGTTACCTGGTCCTGGATATTTACATGTCTCCATGTTCTGTAGTGAGATGTTACCTGGTCCTGGATATTTACCTGTCTTCATGTTCTGTAGTGAGATGTTACCTGGTCCTGGATATTTACATGTATTCATGTTCTGTAGTGAGATGTTACCTGGTCCTGGATATTTACCTGTCTTCATGTTCTGTAGTGAGATGTTACCTGGTCCTGGATATTTACCTGTCTTCATATTCTGTAGAGGATCTAATCGTTCTGCTTCACTCAGTATTGGTGGCCATGGATGTTTCTGACATGCATTTATCCTCTTATATCTCTAGCAGACATTCTGTTCATTCATCATTTACAACTGTGCAATTTTCTTTGTATTTATAATTTATAACTCTGTTATATGTTCTGTGTATTCATCATTTATAACTGTTATATTTTCTTTGTTTTAGTCATTTATATCTGCCATTTTTTGTAATCGTCACTGATAACAGTTATATGTTCTTTGTAGGGCTGTACCAAATATTGGCTTCGTATTGGCTTCAGGGCCGAATAGTGGACCTAATAACTATTCGGTATTCGGCCGGGCAGAATACAAATGGTGGTTACCTTACACCCGTTTTTGCGTACATTGCGATGGACTGAAATAGCTCTCTCATTAACTAAATAGTTGCTGTTGCCTAAGTCTGTCCTAGCGGGGAAAACTTTAACCCGGTCGCGTGGTACAGCAAATGGCAAGGGCTGGGTGCATATGCCAGGGCTACAGCGGCGAAAATCAAGAAAAGTCGGCTATAAATTATGACATTATTAAAGAAGGCATAAAGATACTTAAAAGTTAAAATTTCAACTGTCTTTTTCTCACCACTGTCGAAAAGAGTTTTTTTCCTTGTTTCACACTCAAAGTGTATCATACTGCATAAAATGCCAGCCGCAGTGTGCTAAAAATTGTCTTTGTATTTATCTCGAGGTGCGACCGATCCTCCATCTGTATTTGTGGAGGTGCAGCAGATAAGTAAGGTTGTGATTACATTTTGGCTGAAATTTTACATTTGAAAATGTGGTCTGTACAATACTGACTGTTAGCCTCGTCAAGTAAGCACTTGTATTTAAAGGCAATGCGTTGTAAGTCCAGGACAATCGGCAGGCAGACCAAACAATTTTTTTGAGGCCTTAGAGATGTGGTTTTACAGAAAAATGCTTAAAATATCTTGGACAGCCAAAAATAAGCAACCAAAAGGTTTTGAAAGAGGCGGGGGCCCGAAGACAACTAATCACAGACACCAGAAGGAGACAGTCATCATTTTTGTGGCCATGTTATGAGAAGAGGGAAAATGGAACATGTGGTGACCACTGGAAATATCGGTGGAAGGAGGGAAAGAGGAAGACACTGAGAGAAGATTCTTGACAGTCTTGTTGCGTGGCATGGAGGTGTGTGGGCACACGAACTGATACATGCTGCAGGAGATCGCAGATTGTGGAGAGGCATGATCGTCCATTCCAGTCGGCAAGGCACCTGATGATGATACGCTATTTGTATTCGTATTCGGCCAAATAGTTGGTCCCGCTATTTGTATTTCGTATTCGGCTGAATAGTGATTTTTATCACTATTCGGTACAGCCCTAGTTTTTTGTGCTCATTTTTTAAATCTTTTATATTTTATGTGTATTTCATCATTTATAGCTCTGTTTTATGTTCTGTGTATACATCATTGATATATGTTATATGTTCTGTGTATACATCACTGATATCTGTTATATGTTCTGTGTATTCATCATTGATATCTGTTTTATGTTCTGTGTATACATCATTGATATCTGTTATATGTTCTGTGTATACATCATTGATATCTGTTATATGTTCTGTGTATACATCATTGATATCTGTTATATGTTCTGTGTATACATCACTGATATCTGTTATATGTTCTGTGTATACATCATTGATATCTGTTATATGTTCTGTGTATACATCACTGATATCTGTTATATGTTCTGTGTATACATCATTGATATCTGCTATATGTTCTGTGTATACATCACTGATATCTGTTATATGTTCTGTGTATACACCACTGATATCTGCTATATGTTCTGTGTATACATCACTGATATCTGTTATATGTTCTGTGTATACATCATTGATATCTGTTATATGTTCTGTTCATACATCATTGATATCTGTTATATGTTCTGTGTATACATCACTGATATCTGTTATATGTTCTGTGTATACATCATTGATATCTGTTATATGTTCTGTGTATACATCATTGATATCTGTTATATGTTCTGTGTATACATCATTGATATCTGTTATATGTTCTGTGTATACATCATTGATATCTGTTATATGTTCTGTGTATACATCATTGATATCTGTTATATGTTCTGTGTATACATCATTGATATCTGTTATATGTTCTGTGTATACATCATTGATATCTGTTATATGTTCTGTGTATACATCACTGATATCTGCTATATGTTCTGTGTATACATCATTGATATCTGTTATATGTTCTGTGTATACATCACTGATATCTGTTATATGTTCTGTGTATACATCATTGATATCTGTTATATGTTCTGTGTATACATCATTGATATATGTTATATGTTCTGTGTATACATCACTGATATCTGTTATATGTTCTGTGTATACATCATTGATATCTGTTATATGTTCTGTGTATACATCACTGATATCTGTTATATGTTCTGTGTATACATCATTGATATCTGTCATATGTTCTGTGTATACATCACTGATATCTGTTATATGTTCTGTGTATACATCATTGATATCTGTTATATGTTCTGTGTATACATCACTGATATCTGTTATATGTTCTGTGTATACATCATTGATATCTGTTATATGTTCTGTGTATACATCACTGATATCTGTTATATGTTCTGTGTATACATCACTGATATCTGTTATATGTTCTGTGTATACATCATTGATATCTGTTATATGTTCTGTGTATACATCATTGATATCTGTTATATGTTCTGTGTATACATCATTGATATCTGTTATATGATCTGTGTATACATCATTGATATCTGTTTTATGTTCTGTGTATACATCATTGATATATGTTATATGTTCTGTGTATTCACCATTTATATCTGTTATATGTTCTGTGTATACATCATTGATATCTGTTTTATGTTCTGTGTATACATCATTGATATCTGTTATATGTTCTGTGTATACATCATTGATATCTGTTATATGTTCTGTGTATACATCATTGATATCTGTTATATGTTCTGTGTATTCACCATTTATAACTGTTATATGTTCTGTGTATACATCATTGATATCTGTTATATGTTCTGTGTATACATCACTGATATCTGTTATATGTTCTGTGTATTCACCATTTATAACTGTTATATGTTCTGTGTATACATCATTGATATCTGTTATATGTTCTGTGTATACATCACTGATATCTGTTATATGTTCTGTGTATACATCACTGATATCTGTTATATGTTCTGTGTATACATCACTGATATCTGTTATATGTTCTGTGTATACATCATTGATATCTGTTATATGTTCTGTGTATACATCATTGATATCTGTTATATGTTCTGTGTATTCACCATTTATATCTGTTATATGTTCTGTGTATACATCACTGATATCTGTTATATGTTCTGTGTATTCACAATTTATAACTGTTATATGTTCTGTGTATACATCATTGATATCTGTTTTATGTTCTGTGTATACATCACTGATATCTGTTATATGTTCTGTGTATACATCACTGATATCTGCTATATGTTCTGTGTATACATCATTGATATCTGTTATATGTTCTGTGTATACATCATTGATATCTGTTATATGTTCTGTGTATACATCATTGATATCTGTTATATGTTCTGTGTATACATCACTGATATCTGTTATATGTTCTGTGTATACATCACTGATATCTGTTATATGTTCTGTGTATACATCATTGATATCTGTTATATGTTCTGTGTATACATCATTGATATCTGTTCTATGTTCTGTGTATACATCATTGAAATCTGCTATATGTTCTGTGTATTCACCATTTATATCTGTTATATGTTCTGTGTATACATCACTGATATCTGTTATATGTTCTGTGTATACATCATTGATATCTGTTATATGTTCTGTGTATACATCATTAATATCTGTTATATGTTCTGTGTATACATCATTGATATATGTTATATGTTCTGTGCATACATCACTGATATCTGTTATATGTTCTGTGTATACATCATTGATATCTGTTATATGTTCTGTGTATACATCATTAATATCTGCTATATGTTCTGTGTATACATCATAGAAATCTGCTATATGTTCTGTGTATTCACCATTTATAACTGTTATATGTTCTGTGAATTCATAATTTTTAATTCTGTTTTATTTTCTGGGGCTGTGTTAGCGCAGTCGATAGGAGACTCACTTTCAAATCCAGCTGCGACTTGGCCAGTGTTCAAATATAGGTGGTTTCTGGGGTCACCCAGCCTCTAGGTAATGGGTACCAGAGTTAACACTCGGGGTAAAAAAAGGAACGTCCCTGTAGCTATGGAATTGCATGCGGACGGCGACCCAGGTGAACAGTTTCTCATCAGCTGTCCGTACTTGTGGCAGAGCATTTATGGTTTTTAACTGTGTGCAATGATGCTGGTTCACATCTGCCGACATCTCCCTTTTTACATTTTATTTTCCTGTATTCATCCTTAATAACTCTGTTATATGTGCTGTGTATTCATCATTTATAACTGTTATGTTCTGTGTATTCATCATTTATAACTCTGTTATATGTGCTGTGTATTCATCATTTATAACTGTTACATGTGCTGTGTATTCATCATTTATAACTGTTATGTTCTGCGTAAGCATCATTTAAAACTGTTATATTATCTTTCCATTCATCATTTATAAATGTTGAATATTCAGTGTATTTATCATTTATAACTGTTATATATTATGTGTATTCATCATTTAGAACTGTTACATGTTCCGTGTATCTTCATTTATAAGTGCTATAGTTTCTGTGGATTCCTCATTATAACTCTGTTATATGTATACATCATTTACAGCTCTGTTATATTATATATCATCTGTTCCATGTTCTGTGTGTTCATCATTTATAACTGTTGAATGTTCTGTGTATTAATAATTTATAACTGTTGTATGTTCTGTGTATTCATCATTTATAACTGTTGTATGTTCTGTGTATTCATCATTTATAACTGTTGCATGTTCTGTGAATCTTTCAATGACTTTATCTCTGTCTGTGACTACTGTACCTCGTGTTCACAACATACAAAATTAGGAGACAGAATATGTATGATCTGTTCCCACACTTACCCTGGTGGTAAAGTTCCAGCTGCGGCCGGATTTATCCACAGATGCCACTTTCACACAGTGGATATTGCTGAGAATCTGGGACAGACAAGCAATGGTTACTGTTGCTGTTGTCAGTGACACTCTAGTCTTCCAAGTTTATTCATACTTGCAATCAAAAACAATAATGTGACACTTTAGTTGCTGTATCACAGACATCTCAGACTTTCTACTCTTCCCGCATGTAATGAATATTTCTGTGACAGACCTCAACTTACAGATAGTGATTTTGTACATTCTTGTTTGTAACTGTATATCACAGTCCACTTATGCTATATGTTGATGAAAGCTTCCAGCTGCAACATTCGTCTGCCATTCATGATTGTAAAAATGTGAAGCTGACTAGTTATCATCTGGATTTATATCTTTGAGTGATTCACATGTTGTCCATCAAACAAACAGATCCTGACATGGAAAAAGGCGCAAGTGAGTGATTCACGTGTTGTCCATCTAACAAACAGATCTTGACATGGAAGGAAGCACAATAAGTGAATGACTTACATGTTGTCCATCAAACAAAACAGATCCTGACGTGGAAGAAAGATCAAGTGAATGACTTACATGTTGTCCATCAAACAAAACAGATCATGACATGGAAGAAAGCACAAGTGAGTGACTGACAGATCCTGACACGGGAAGAAGTATAAGTGAATGACTTACATGTTGTCCATCAAACAAACAGATCCTGACATGGCGGTCAAGCACCTCTATACCTGTTGACACAATATGATCATTAAATACAAGGTTATGGTAGTTAGGCCATACACAGATTCACAGATACCAGTTGTACTCAAGGAAACATTGCTTTAACTACAATAAATAACATCCAACTACAACCAAAAGACAAAAATATTCTTGTACCAAAATATCTGTTACTATAACAGATATCCAACAAAATCTCTGTTAACAAAATGTAGTAGTAGACAAAAATGTTAGACAGATGCGACATTAGATATTCAAGGAAAAGCATCAAATTGGTCGGTGCAAATCTAAGTATTGATTGAAGTGTGTAGCAGTAGCTAGCAGTGAACTATTTGTCTACAATTAACAATGTACTATTGAAGTGTGTAGCAGTAGCTAGCAGTGAACTATTTGTCTACAATTAACAATGTACTATTGAAGTGTGTAGCAGTAGCTAGCAGTGAACTATTTGTCTACAATTAACAATGTACTATTGAAGTGTGTAGCTAGCAGTGAACTATTTTAGTGTATACAGTTAACAAGGTACTATTGAAGTGTGTAGCTACCAGTTGAACTACTCAATGATAAATATCCAGTTTATGAAACCTATAGTACAGTACCACAAACAGTATACAGTTTCTGTAATAAATGCTTCACTGAACAATTCCTTAATTAGTGTGCATTCAATGCCGAAATTACTAGTGTGAGCAGATAAACTGTGCGGTCTTAATTAGTTTCAGTGCCCAGTTCATGAAATTATTACTATGGTGTGTTAATTTCAATTAACCATATCAAATTAATCATTTCTTCAGTATTTTAAAAGTAGCAGTAACATATTCAACAGACAAGCTTCAACGAAACAACCTTCAAGAAAGCAACAGCCATCGCAGAACCAGCTTCAGGTCAACGTCAGGACAGTCAACTAGATCAGCACAACAATATACATTGATTATTAATTTTATTTTTGATTTATTTTTCTGGTGATTCAGTTATTTATTATAATTATCAATATTATTTATTTATAATTTACATTGGTGCAGTCATTGACATTTATTTTATTTATTTATAATTTACATTGGTGCATTCATTGACATTCATTTTATTTATGTATAATTTACATTGGTGCATTTATTGACATTTACTTTATTATATCGGTGCATTCATTGACATCTACTTTATTATTAATATTGTTACATTGGTGTTTTTGATATTATTTTGTATTTTCCTACTATTCTTTACATTATTTCTGTTATTTATAAATATTGGCAAATTGTATTGAAATTCTATATATATTTTTTTTTTTTTTGTCATTTTAAAAAATTGTGGGTGTTATATTACACGAAAGTTCAGTACCACCATCATCAGGAAGTGCCATAATTAATCATACACACATCATCATTATCAAGTGTCAAAGTTATTTCAATTTGAGTTTAATATTTGATCTACCCATTCACATTTGATCATCATCAAGTGTAACCACTATAACAAAAATACAGCTGTGGGTAATATAAATTGTATTGTATACCAAGAATAATAAGTTAATCATTGGTTGATTGGGTAAAGATTATTGTAATATTATTTGGTGATTTCACAAGGTATAATCAGTTGAAACTGTATAACCAACTACTGTGCTACACAGGATTATTATAACATTGTTACACATTTACAAATTAATTAGTTATTTATTTCATAAATACTTTGATAGTCCACTACATTTAATACTTTGATAATCCACTGCATCTACTCTAGTGCTATAACATTCTATTAGTTGATTAATAATCTTTATCAAATAATATATCATTTATTCTTGCTGTCATATCTAATTTCTCAAGTGTGCTTAAGTGATTTACTCTCCCATAAGCTAAACATATATTAGTTAACTCTTCTTCTCAAACATCAACTATATATATATATATATATTTATATATATATATATATATAGAATTATTTAGTAATAGACTTGGTGGTTGGAAGAGTTACATCCACTTTATTGCAAGGTTTGGTATTAATACCCAGGGACATTTAGTTAACTCAAGTTACTAGTTCATTACATTGAACTTATATTGTTCTTTTTAAGGTGTGTATTTTGAAAGAAAGGTATTGTAACAAATTGTTGTTTACATTGTAAAGACATAAAAATGTCTAACTTGGCAGAACTGATCAAGCTGGGCAAAGAATTAAATTTAGAAGGGGAAGAACTTAGAAAGTTTTGTGATGAGAAAGAAAAGAAAATGCAAGACGATGCCAGGGAAGAACGGAGATTATTAAGAGCACACGAACTAGAGGTTAAAAGACAGGAGATGGAGATAAGAGAAAAACAGCTGGAACAAGAAAAAGAAATGAAAAAACAGGAGATGGAGATAAGAGAAAAACAGCTGGAACAAGAAAAAGAAATGAAAAAACAGGAAATGGAGATGAGAAATAAACAAATGGAACAAGAAAGAATATTAAAAGAACAAGAATTGAATTTGGAACGTGAGAAGATAGCTGCGTCAATTCAGACTGAAAAAGAAAAGACAGAAGCACAAATCAGAACTAAAGAAATGGAAAATGACTCCAGAAGAGAAGCTGCTATCCAAAAAGAAAAATTAAAAGAAGAAGAAAATAAATTCAAAAAGTATGCAGGTATAGTTAGAAATTTCTCGGAAAAGGATGACATTGGTAGTTATATATCTAGCTTTCTTTTGCAAATGCGCTTTCATGATGTTCCAAAAGACCAGTGGGCCATTATTTTTCAAAAACATTTAGCATTTGAACCATTGAAGATCTTAGAAACAGTCCCTGAACATTTAAGATTAGACTTTGACTATATTAAAGATCGCATCATGCGACACTATGACCTACATGAAGCAGGGTATAGGAAAAAGTTTCTGGATTTAAAGCCAAAGTCTGATCAGACGTTCACTGACTATTTTTCGGAAGTTCAGAATATTTTTGATAAATGGATTGATTCGGCCAATGTTAGAGATAATTATAAATTATTAGTAGATTTATTATTAAGGAACAAAATGTTGGAATCTTTACCTAAACCTATGTCAACCTTTTTAAGAGAAAATAAAACAAACCTCATTGAAGGAGTTAGAGAACTTAGGTGAGAATTATTTTTCAGCCAATCGTGAAATCTTCATTTCCAACCCAGTACCAGACATTGAAACTGGAGCTAGTGCCAGTTATGACAAAGGCAGATACAACCAAGGGGCAAACCCACACAAAAACAAAACCACGTTCAACAAAAAGTGGCAAATGACGTACTGCAAATATTGTCAAAAATCTCATCCGAACGACAAAATGTGTGATAGAAATCCGGGTTATAAAGACTATGTAGACAAACTGTTTAATAGAAGAACACAGAGGTTGAGATTGTATAAAGATGCCATTAAATGTTACAATTGTGGTTGCTATAATCATGTGAAAAAAGACTGTTTATTTAGAAGAAAATTTAAGGAAGCCAACATATCACAGGCAATATCAGACTCAGATTCAGACACCGAACCATTTGAGACCAATGCAGTAACTGTTGAAACTTGCCCTGTATGTCAACAGTTCCATGAAGAAGATAGCCTTCCATGTGGCCATAATATACCTGTACAAGAAGCCAACTCAGCCACAAATACACAGGAAACCTTAAAATTATACAGAGGTATTGTAAATGGAAGAATAACCACCATTTTGAGAGACACGGGCGCCACAATTTCAGGTATCCACAAAGATCTTATCAAACCGACAGACATTATTAACAAATATATTCGTTGCCGAACGTTTGGAGGCACGATTGAGAAATATAAGATAGCTTTTGTCAATGTTAACACTCCATTTTTACAAAGAAGAATAAGAGTTGCAGTATTACCATCACCATGTGCAGGATTAATTTTGGGGAATGAAAATGGTTTGAAAGAAATGTCTGAGCAAGAAATGTTTCAGTGGGAAAGAAAAAACATCAAAGAAGTGAAAGAAAATAACAACACAAGTACCAGTGATCAAGAGTATTGCCATAGTGTGAATGTAACAGTAAGTGAAAACATGATTAACAGTGATGAAGATCTTCGCCATAGTGTGAATGCAAAAAAGCAAGGGAATGAAAGTGACTCATCCAAGAATAGGGAGCAGTCAATCAGTCATGCAAGAATGAGTGAAAGTATCAGTACAAAAAAGAAGCAGAATGAAAGGAATGAGAATACAGAGTGTAAAGATAAATGTATGAAAGGAGTACAATATGAGAACACTGAGGGTAAAGATAATGATATGAAAGAAGTACTAAATGCAAGAGAAATGAATGACAATGCATTGTGTGGTAAAAACATACCATCCATACTGAATGAAAGTGAAAAATTGAGAAATAGTGATGCAAGAAAGAATACACCAAGAACAGTTGCAGATAATGAAAAACTTGAAAATAGTAATTTATCAAAAGGTGACCACAACTCAAGAGAAAAAACATCATGAAAAATCCTCATACTATACAAGTAATTACATTTGGCTGATGCAATACATCTTACTTACCATGTGGCAAATTCTGTTGATAACATGCCAAACATACAATCTTGATTCATTCTGTATTATCCAAAGCATCCAGATCCTAAAACTTCTTCTGACTATAAGTCCTATTTACAAAGATTGCTACAACTCTCAACTATTTGTTACTACAAAAACTTGTCAAATTCTTAGAAGGGCTACACTACTAACACTTTTGTTGCTGAAACTATTACTTTTACAAATGAGGTATTCAAAACACTTTCCACATTCGGTGATTACAAATCTTTATTGCCACATTCAAATCCACAATCAAACAAACAGAATATAAAATAGTTACATTCATGAAAAACTTTCAAAAAGATTTTGGGTGTATAAAATCAAAAAATTGTAATTTTTGTTTGTTAGTCAGACAATTTATGTATACAATGGTCAGGCCCTTTTGTTGTTACAAGAAAGATTTCTGATGTTGATTATGAAATCAAAATTGATGAAAAGCTAATTTTTCATGTAAACATGCTTAAACCATATTTAAAAGATCACTATTGATGTCAGATGATGATGTATTTGATGCAAATTTATGTAATGTATATGTCACAGAAACTTAACCAAACTCAACAAAAATACAATACATTTGAATGAGAAGCGTTGGCACTAGTTATTAGTCTAAAAAAAGTTTCAGAAGTTTCTTTTGGGAAAAGAATTCACTATTTTAACAGATAACTTGGGGTTGACAAAATTATTAACAATTGATGCCAATAGCAATCCAAGGGTATATAGATGGGCATTGTTGATATCACAATTCAAATTTAACATTGAACACATCAAAGGAACAGACAATCATTTACCAGATATCATGTCACGTTTGTAGAACATGTTACAACTGCTATTACAACTTGTATTAACTGAAATCATTTTATGCAAGGGTATGCATTGTATTATTGTATGAATGTATTATATGAATTTACAACTTGGAAAATGTATGTTTTGATTTGAACGGGTATAATATAGAAAACAATTAAAGGGAGACAACATTCAGGATTAAAATACACCTCACCAGAAAATGTTACATTTACTAGTATACTAAATTGAATTGGTGTGGCATTTAATTTGAATATGTGTGTTAATGAGACATGTTGTGGTTTCTGAAGACAAGGTAATTAACTACATCTTGTACCTTTCGTAGTTGGGAACAAAACCATACATTGCTGATTTAGCCATTGTTGAGGACTTTCATGAATGGGAATAGCGAGGGTGGGACTTCATGGGGTCACACTTCGGTTTTAGAGCCAAGATTTTGGACTTCCGCACCGATCGGGGGGTGCCAGGAGAGGGGTTCGGTTGTATACCGACTTTAGAACTGGGTGGGGATACCTATGGAGCCAGATTATTGGTCTTCCGCACTAAAAGGGGAGTGCCTGGGGTGAGGATCCCATTAAGGTATTCACAGTCGTGCAAAGACCCAACAGATGGCATTTTAGAGTGTTTGAATTGTTAACCTAATGAGGTAAAGGGAACTTGGTTGGAAATGAACTTGTCGAAAATGATTCACTACAAAGGTCTAGAATCACAATGTTCAGTGAAATGTCCACACCTGATTAATTGAAAATGTAAAACATTTTTTTGGGGTGGGGGAGAATGTAGTGAGTCATTTTCTCCTCATTAATTTATGCCCGATAGATGACGTCAGTAATAGATGTAAGACGAATGTTTTGACTGGCTGAGATAACACGAGATTTATGTCTTGAGTTTCATGAGAGACATCTGAAAGTCAGGTTTTATGTGAAACATGATTGTTCACAGGATTTGTGTGAAATGTGAATTATCACGGGCCAGACACGACTTTCAACAGTGGGAAATTCGTGAGAATGAATCCAGAATATTCTAGAACAGGATAGATCAGAGGGCTATATAATAGCGAAGAAAAGGTTTGTGAGCAGTCTCGTTTTGGACCTAGGAACAGTGTGCATGGACAGCGGTGGATGATGTGTGGATTCAGCAGATGTTTTTGTGAGTGAATTTGTTCCGGTCCAACTTGGCGAAAAAAGCTGGCCAGTAATATGTCTGCGGGTCGTCTGAGTTTGTCTGTCAGGACAGCTGCTGTGTTTCGTTCAAGATGTTAGTGTGATTGTGATTTCTGCTTGAAGGTAATAGTTGACACTTGCATTATAATGTGTGCCTGGACAGTTGTCTAGTTCATGTGCCGGCAGTGTAAGCCGCGAGTGGAAGATTAAAGTACTGGAACAGTATCGTGTTGTTTTCCAGTCGTCCATTTTTTCTGCTCGTCGAGTGATGTCGGTTTGTGAGATGGCAGCGAGCGTGCGATGAGGCGAGCCAGTAGAAAATAAAAGAGAATCATCGCAGTATAGCTGATTCAAAATCTAGCGGAGGCAGCAGTGACTGCCTCCACCTCAATTCTTAAACTAGATGTTGTGATATCATATGCCAGGCTTTGTTGCACCAAGCTGCATCCATTTGCCTTTGCTATGATCCCCTATGCACTTCAACTGCCTTCAACACAAAGCCATCTGTATAGACAATCACATCACCTGGGCGGGAATTTACTTGAATAATTTGTTGAACTTCTGATTTTGCAGCACCAACTTGTAAGTCCTTGCACTCAGGTCCCAAAGTGATTAGAACCCTACACACGTCTGAAACCTGACTGGACACTCGGACCCACTCCATTCCTGGTAATTGTCTTAGAAAGACTGGGTTATTCTTAAAAAGTCTGATATTTGCTTTCTATTTCATTCAACTCTTTGGCCAAAAAGTAAAGTGCTATATCTACAAGCTACAGATCTTATTCTAGACTTGTTGGCTCAACATGCCTGATCCTCCTTATCTTCTGCCCCTCTCCTGGGCTTCCTTCCTCCTCTGCTTTTGCTTTCTCATTATATAATCACTTCTCAAAGCATGGGCGATTTGTAACATCCCTGACACCCGTCATCCTGTAAATTTTCTGGTCAGTTTTCTCGCTTTATCTACCGGAAAGATTAATAGGATTCTCATTTCTGTCCTTCCTGTTCTAATCTATATTTCTAGCGCTCCTGCTGTCATACCACTCAATAATTGATTAGCGTTGATGTAGGAAAGTTCCCCTCATAATTAATTGCCTGGGTTCTAACTTGCATCTTCTCTCCTCATTGCACACATCCTTTAGCTGCAGGTATAGTTTTAATCTACAGATGCTGGCCTTCAACTTTCCTACAGGATACTCCAGCAGATATAAGATATTCCAGCAGATATAAGATATTCCAGCAGATATAAGATATTCCAGCAGACATAAGATATTCCAGCAGATATAAGATATTCCAGCAGATATAAGATATTCCAGCAGATATAAGATATTCCAGCAGACATAAGATATTCCAGCAGATATAAGATATTCCAGCAGATATAAGATATTCCAGCAGTCTTAGACAGGCAAAGATAATAAGATATTCCAACAGTCTTAGGCAGACAAAAATATAAGATATTCCAACAGTCTTAGACAGACAAAGATATAAGATTTTTCAACAGTCTTAGGCAGACAAAAATATAAGATATTCCAACAGTCTTAGACAGACAAAGATATAAGATATTCCAACAGTCTTAGGCAGACAAAAATATAAGATATTCCAACAGTCTTAGACAGACAAAGATATAAGATATTTCAACAGTCTTAGGCAGACAAAAATATAAGATATTCCAACAGTCTTAGACAGACAAAGATATAAGATATTTCAACAGTCCTAGACAGACAAAGATATAAGATATTCCAACAGTCTTAGACAGACAAAGATATAAGATATTCCAACAGTCTTAGACAGACAAAGATATAAGATATTCCAACAGTCCTAGACAGACAAAGATATAAGATATTCCAACAGTCTTAGACAGACAAAGATATAAGATATTCCAGCAGTTTCTGATACTAACCTGTACCAGGAGGCGGGATCTGCTGGCACGAAACTAAAGTGATGAGGTGGTTAATCCGAGTTGATCTGGGCCGAATCTGGAACAAACATTTTACAGTCCCTAACTGTTCAAGATATTTCCATGCTGTGTGATGCATTGGGCTCCATGCTGCTAGAACCATCTGGCCTTCAGGAAGTGATGTGTACAGATCAAACAGACCAGCTGACACTCAGGGAGTGATGTGTACAGATCAAACAGACCAGCAGGTCCTCAGGAAGTGATGTTTACAGATCAAACAGACAGCTGGCACTCAGGGAGTGATGTGTACAGATCAAACAGACCAGCTAGCACTCAGGAAGTGATGTGTACAGATCAAACAGACCAGCTGGCACTCAGGAAGTGATGTGTACAGATCAAACAGACAGCTGGCACTCAGGGAGTGATGTGTACAGATCAAACAGACCAGCATGCACTCAGGAAGTGATGTGTACAGATCAAACAGACCAGCTAGCACTCAGGAAGTGATGTGTACAGATCAAACAGACAGCTGGCACTCAGTGAGTGATGTGTACAGATCAAACAGACCAGCATGCACTCAGGGAGTGATGTGTACAGATCAAACAGACCAGCTGGCACTCAGGAATTGATGTGTACAGATCAAACAGACCAGCTGGCACTCAGGAAGTGATGTGTACAGATCAAACAGACAGCTGGCACTCAGGAAGTGATGTGTACAGATCAAACAGACCAGCTAGCACTCAGGAAGTGATGTGTACAGATCAAACAGACCAGTAGGCACTCAGGAAGTGATGTGTACAGATCAAACAGACAGCTGGCACTCAGGGAGTGATGTGTACAGATCAAACAGACCAGCATGCACTCAGGAAGTAATGTGTACAGATCAAACAGACCAGCAGGTCCTGAGGAAGTGATGTGTACAGATCAAACAGACCAGCTAGCACTCAGGAAGTGATGTGTACAGATCAAACAGACCAGCTGGTCCTCAGGGAGTGATGTGTACAGATCAAACAGACCAGCTGACACTCAGGAAGTGATGTGTACAGATCAAACAGACCAGCAGGTCCTCAGGAAGTGATGTGTACAGATCAAACAGACCAGCTGACACTCAGGAAGTGATGTGTACAGATCAAACAGACCAGCTGGTACTCAGGAAATGATGTGTACAGATCAAACAGACCAGCTGGCACTCAGGAAGTGATGTGTACAGATCAAACAGACCAGCTGGTCCTCAGGAAGTGATGTGTACAGTTCAAACAGACCAGCTGGTCCTCAGGAAGTGATGTGAACAGATCAAACAGACCAGCAGGTCCTCAGGAAGTGATGTGAACAGATCAAACAGACCAGCTGACACTCAGGGAGTGATGTGTACAGATCAAACAGACCAGCTGACACTCAGGGAGTGATGTGTACAGATCAAACAGACCAGCAGGTCCTCAGGAAGTAATGTGTACAGATCAAACAGACCAGCTGACACTCAGGGAGTGATGTGTACAGATCAAACAGACCAGCTGACACTCAGGGAGTGATGTGTACAGATCAAACAGACCAGCAGGTCCTCAGGAAGTGATGTGTACAGATCAAACAGACCAGCTGACACTCAGGAAGTGATGTGTACAGATCAAACAGACCAGCTGGTCCTCAGGAAGTGATGTGTACAGATCAAACAGACCAGCAGGTCCTCAGGAAGTGATGTGAACAGATCAAACAGACCAGCAGGTCCTCAGGAAGTGATGTGAACAGATCAAACAGACCAGCAGGTCCTCAGGAAGTGATGTGTACAGATCAAACAGACCAGCTGACACTCAGGAAGTGATGTGTACAGATCAAACAGACCAGCTGGCACTCAGGAAGTGATGTGAACAGATCAAACAGACCAGCTGACACTCAGGAAGTGATGTGTACAGATCAAACAGACCAGCAGGTCCTCAGGAAGTGATGTGAACAGATCAAACAGACCAGCTGACACTCAGGGAGTGATGTGTACAGATCAAACAGACCAGCTGACACTCAGGGAGTGATGTGTACAGATCAAACAGACCAGCAGGTCCTCAGGAAGTAATGTGTACAGATCAAACAGACCAGCTGGTACTCAGGAAGTGATGTGTACAGATCAAACAGACCAGCTGGTACTCAGGAACTAATCAAGTAACAGAAAATGTATTGATCGGCACTATATGAGTGCCGATCAATACTTTCTGTTACTTGATTAATTCATAATATTTAACGGTCTCAAAGGTTCCCCCTATATTTATTTATTGGTACTCAGGAAGTGATGTGTACAGATAAAACAGACCAGCTGGCACTCAAGTGATGTGTACGGATCAAACAGACCAGCTGGCACTCAGGAAGTAATGTGTACGGATCAAACAGACCAGCTGGCACTCAGGAAGTAATGTGTACTGATCAAACAGACCAGCTGTACACCTGCCAGGCATCATGGGAGGTCCATGAGATAAATCTACCTCACCGGGTGGGGATCTGACCCCTATGACTCGGGTGGGGACCTGACCCCTATGACTTGTAAGTTGGCTAGTGTGCCCTGGCAGCACTCACAGCAAACACACACACACACCCCTGTATAAACTCACATTGTCAAGTGTTTTCAACACAAGTCAAGTAAGCAACCCATTTTGTTTGGCACTGTACATCTTGGGTATAGAGTGCTAGCCCTTATCTGTACAGATGAAATTATATGGGATAGATGAGTTTACCTGTATCCTACCAGCCCCTTTTGTTTCCCTTGAAATGTTACAGGAAGCAAATGCAGCCATCGGGATACTGACAACATGACATTGACAACATGATACTGATAACATGATACTGACAACATGACAGTGACAACGTGATACTGACAACATGACAACATATTACTGAAAAGATGAACAACATGATACTGAAAACATCCCTTGCACTTGGTATTTCTAAGAGTAGTGCACACAGCAGGTAGTTGTGTTTTTTTTCCAAGAGTAGTGCACACTGCTGGTGGGTATTTCTAAGAGTAGTGCACATAGCAGTTGGGTATTTCTAAGAGTCTTACACACCAGGTGGGTTATTCTAAGTGGTGCACACAGCTAGTGGATTTTTCAGAGTAGTGCACATAGCAAATGGGCATTTCTAAGAGTGGTGCACACAGCTGGTGGGCATTTCTAAAAGTGGTGCACACAGCAGGGAGGACTTCTTAAAGTGGTGCGCACAGCTGGTGGGTTTTTCTCACAGAGTAGTGCACATAGCAGTTAGGCATTTCTAAGAGTGGTGGACACAGCAGGTGGATATTTCTAAGAGTGGTGCACACAGCAGGTGGGTATTTCTAAAAGTGGTGCACACAACAGGGAGGACTTCTAAAAATGGTGCACACAGCAAAAGGATATTTTCTCCACTGGACATGCTTGGAGCCAATTAAGGCTAGGCTGACTTGAAGTGCCAGGTAAGTGGAACAAATACTGCTACCGGGCAGCAGATCCCTAAGGGGCAAGCAGGCAAGTGGGCCAGTCTTAGCCCTACTGCAGCTCTTATCTGACTGAGAACAAACACCCAGCCAATTCTCTACTGCAACTCTTATCTGACTGAGAACAAACACCCAGCCAATTCTCTACTGCAACTCTTATCTGACTGAGAACAAACACACAGCCAATTCTCTACTGCAACTCTTATCTGACTGAGAACAAACACCCAGCCAATTCTCTACTGCAACTCTTATCTGACTGAGAACAAACACCCAGCCAATTCTCTACTGCAACTCTTATCTGACTGAGAACAAACACCCAGCCAATTCTCTACTGCAACTCTCACTGGGTAGAGAAACAGTACAACACAGACTCCACGCACTAAAGTATCTCCACCTGGCGGTGCTGGAGGAACCAGTATGTTCCAGTGATCTCTAGAGCAATGCTGATGGTAGTGTAGCTACCAGTAGGGTTTCCATGTTGGACAGCTCAAGGGAGAGGATGTGACAGAGAGAGAGGCAACCCTGCTGCCCTGTAGGACAACTGGGCATGGGGGAAGCCAACCTCAACACTGCCTTGTAGGACAACTGGGCACAGGTGAAGCCAACCTCAACACTGCCTGTGGAAATGGAATGCTGAGCCACATTTGTGATAGAACATATCAATACAGCGCTATGTAAAATCACAGGTTTGTTAAACATACATACCCTGTTTGTGGCAGGATCAAACAGCAGATCGCTGTAGGTAAGATTGGACTGGCTTAGTTTTGGCATTAGAAAACTGGCCATTCTGTATGTTTTGCCTGAGAATATAAGACAAACACTGCAGCAGCTACTACCATTGATGTAGTTGTATTATAACAAACAATACAGCAGCTACTACCATTGATGTAGTTGTATTATAACAAACACTGCAGCAGCTACTACCATTGATGTAGTTGTATTATAACACACACTACAGCAGCTACTACCATTGATGTAGTTGTATTATAACACACACTACAGCAGCTACTACCATTGATGTAGTTGTATTATAACAAACACTACAGCAGCTACTACCATTGATGTAGTTGTATTATAACAAACACTACAGCAGCTACTACCATTGATGTAGTTGTATTATAACAAACACTGCAGCAGCTACTACCATTGATGTAGTTGTATTATAACAAACACTACAGCAGCTACTACCATTGATGTAGTTGTATTATAACACACACTGCAGCAGCTACTACCATTGATGTAGTTGTATTATAACAAACACTACAGCAGCTACTACCATTGATGTAGTTGTATTATAACAAACACTACAGCAGCTACTACCATTGATGTAGTTGTATTATAACAAACACTACAGCAGCTACTACCATTGATGTAGTTGTATTATAACACACACTACAGCAGCTACTACCATTGATGTAGTTGTATTATAACAAACACTACAGCAGCTACTACCATTGATGTAGTTGTATTATAACAAACACTGCAGCAGCTACTACCATTGATGTAGTTGTATTATAACAAACACTACAGCAGCTACTACCATTGATGTAGTTGTATTATAACACACACTGCAGCAGCTACTACCATTGATGTAGTTGTATTATAACAAACACTACAGCAGCTACTACCATTGATGTAGTTGTATTATAACAAACACTGCAGCAGCTACTACCATTGATGTAGTTGTATTATAACACACACTGCAGCAGCTACTACCATTGATGTAGTTGTATTATAACAAACACTACAGCAGCTACTACCATTGATGTAGTTGTATTATAACAAACACTGCAGCAGCTACTACCATTGATGTAGTTGTATTATAACACACACTACAGCAGCTACTACCATTGATGTAGTTGTATTATAACAAACACTATCTATAATATCAACATTTTCACAAGACCTATTATACATTTATTGCTAGAACAATCAAAATCTACACATTTTAGACATCTGTTGCTGGAGCAATCAACATCTACACATTTTAGACATTTGCTGCTGGAACAATCAACATCTATACAAGATATATGAGACATCTGTTGCTGGAACAATCAACATCTATACAAGATATATGAGACATCTGTTGCTGGAACAATCAACATCTATACAAGATATATGAGACATCTGTTGCTGGAACAATCAACATCTATACAAGATATATGAGACATCTGTTGCTGGAACAATCAACATCTATACAAGATATATGAGACATCTGTTGCTGGAACAATCAACATCTATACAAGATATATGAGACATCTGTTGCTGGAACAATCAACATCTATACAAGATATATGAGACATCTGTTGCTGGAACAATCAAAATCTATACACGATATATAAGACATCTGTTGCTGGAACAATCAACATCTATACACGATATATGAGACATCTGTTACTGGAACAATCAACATCTATACACGATATATGAGACATCTGTTGCTGGAACAATCAACATCTATACAAGATATATGAGACATCTGTTGCTGGAACAATCAACATCTATACACGATATATAAGACATCTGTTGCTGGAACAATCAACATCTATACACGATATATGAGACATCTGTTACTGGAACAATCAACATCTATACACGATATATGAGACATCTGTTACTGGAACAATCAACATCTATACACGATATATGAGACATCTGTTACTGGAACAATCAACATCTATACACGATATATGAGACATCTGTTACTGGAACAATCAACATCTATACACGATATATGAGACATCTGTTACTGGAACAATCAACATCTATACAAGATATATGAGACATCTGTTACTGGAACAATCAACATCTATACAAGATATATGAGACATCTGTTGCTGGAACAATCAACATCTATACAAGATATATGAGACATCTGTTGCTGGAACAATCAACATCTATACAAGATATATGAGACATCTGTTGCTGGAACAATCAACATCTATACAAGATATATGAGACATCTGTTGCTGGAACAATCAACATCTATACAAGATATATGAGATATCTGTTGCTGGAACAATCAACATCTATACAAGATATATGAGACATCTGTTGCTGGAACAATCAACATCTATACAAGATATATGAGATATCTGTTGCTGGAACAATCAACATCTATACAAGATATATGAGACATCTGTTGCTGGAACAATCAACATCTATACAAGATATATGAGACATCTGTTGCTGAAACAATCAACATCTATACAAGATATATGAGACATCTGTTGCTGGAACAATCAACATCTATACAAGATATATGAGACATCTGTTGCTGAAACAATCAACATCTATACAAGATATATGAGACATCTGTTGCTGGAACAATCAACATCTATACAAGATATAAGAGACATCTGTTGCTGAAACAATCAACATCTATACAAGATATATGAGACATCTGTTGCTGGAACAATCAACATCTATACAAGATATATGAGACATCTGTTGCTGAAACAATCAACATCTATACAAGATATATGAGACATCTGTTGCTGAAACAATCAACATCTATACAAGATATATGAGACATCTGTTGCTGGAACAATCAACATCTATACAAGATATATGAGACATCTGTTGCTGAAACAATCAACATCTATACAAGATATATGAGACATCTGTTGCTGGAACAATCAACATCTATACAAGATATATGAGACATCTGTTGCTGGAACAATCAACATCTATACAAGATATTTTAGACAATTGTTGCTGGAACAATCAACATCTATACAAGATATTTTAGACAATTGTTGCTGAAACAATCAACATCTATACAAGATATTTTTAGACATTTGTTGCTGGAACAATCAAGATCTACACAAGACATTTTATACATTTGTTGCTGGAACAATCAAGATCTACACAAGACATTTTAGACATTTGCTGCTGGAACAATCAACATTAACACAAGACATTGCTGTTGGAACAATCAACATCTACACAAGATATCTGAGACATTTGTTGCTGGAACAATCAATATCTACAAAAGACATTTTATACATTTGTTGCTGGAACAATCAATATCTACACAAGATATTTTAGACATTTGTTGCTAGAACAATCAAGATCTACACAAGACATTTTAGACATTTGCTGCTGGAACAATCAATTTGTATGTAATATGTATACTGTTAAAAAAAAAGAAACGCATCGTTATCCGATAAAATATCATACTCGGGTATGTCAAAAGCAGACTCAAACCTTGTTTACAGTGTCCAGTGGACATGTGGGCGCGAATTGCGGGTTTTTTTTGTAATCGTTACAATGCAGTGGTCAATTGTGTTAAAGACCATACTTGTGAGCATAGCTCCCGATGCGTGCATGAGAAAGCAACACAATTTGCGGTGAACAATATTCACTGCCTACGCAATTGAAACCCTATAAAAAGATAACGCTACACAAAAACAAACAGTTCATTTACAAGCAGACACGATAAATTTAAGGAATACTGCTATTGGCCGATTGAAGGCGGAAGAAAGTCAAAGTCAGGTTGCCAGGCATCTAAACGTGCATCAGAGTACCATCAGTAGTCGACTTTGGCACCGGTTCCAAGTCACTGGTTCAGTTGAAGACCCACATCGCAGTGGACGACCCAGAGTGACAACCGCAGCGGAGAATCACTTTATTTGGCTTTGTCACCTCAGTGACAGGTTTAAAACAGCTTCCTCAACTGCACAGGCATTGTCTCCAGGACGTCATGTGTCTAATCAAACTGTTCGGAACAGACTGCATGATGCTGGACTTTGTGCTCGATGACCACACCGAGGACCTATCTTTACGCGTCGCCAGACCCCATTCTGCACAGCTGACCACGCAGTTCCTTGCTGCCATAACATTCAAACCCTTCCCTGGCCATCCCTGTCTGCAGACATGAGTCCAATTGAGCACCTGTGGGATGAGCTGCAAAGACGTGTTTGTCAATGAAACGTTTTTCCAGTCAATGGTCATGATCTGTTCCAGACACTCCAGGAAGGGTGGGCAGCCATCCCACAGGCCCACATCAGACACCTGATCGCATCTATGCCTAGCTGATGCCAGTCACTGATCCACGCAAGAGGAGGCCACACACCAAACTAACGGGAAAGGTCTACGCTTAAAAAATATGGTGACCCAGATGCAAAAAAAGGTGTCAACTGATTGGTGGAACCCTAAGGTATTCTTGTGTGAAATTTTAATAATTTCACTTACTGCATTACAAGGTACAGAATGTCAAAATTGTGAGCATGTTAAGTATGAGCATATTTTTTTAACAGTATTTTACACTGAAAAAACAGTGCTGTACATTTTTTCTGTTTGCATCCAACCAGACAGAAAATGCAGACAGCAGTGTCCGGCTGCTGTGGAAGCAGAAGTTCAAGCCTTGATTTTTGAGAACGCTCTAGAGATTAATGCTGTCATTTGCACAGATGGTTCTGTAATCTGTCATTTTTGCCATAACTACAAGTAGTCTGACCATGGAGGTCATGGCTGTGACTAAAGCAATAACATGGCTAGATACAGACTTTCCCTGGGGCATGCTTTCTCAGTGACTTGATGAGTATGCTCAGGAAGATAGAGAAGGGCTGGGTTTGGTGTCTCTACAGAATTCACGGTTGACAAGGATTAGTTTCATTTTCGTGCCAGGACATGTGGGGGTACTAGGAAATGAGCAAGCTGATAGACTTGCAGGTAAGGCTACTGTGAAAGCCGGACAAGCCATGGACCAGGCTGATATACTGAATGCTCTAAGAGAGTTGAGACGTTTGCGTGAACCAACTGAGAACTGTGAATCTGCAACCATGGTCAGACTGCAAAAACAACATGTTAAACGGGGTGTCACCAAACAAGAACACTATGTGGGTAGCCAAAGAAAAATAATACAGAACTGGTGTCGTTAGCTGCTACACGTTGCAGGATTTACTGAGGAGGGGATCTGAGCACTTTTGAACTGAGTGTTTCAACATGCAATGAGGATAATTCTGTAAGAATCTAAAGAGATATCAGGTTATATACAGAATATCAGAGACTGCTGTTGTCAACACTAGCCATCTGACCTAAGCTCAAGTGAGGTAATCTCAGGGGGAGATAATTACTTTTATCCTGAGTTATCTTCTCCTAAAAGTCTGGCCTCAAGATAATTATTTGACACTTGACCCCTGGGTGTTAGACATTAACTATAGTCCAGGGAAATTAAACAGCTTTTTTTCTGGGTCAACCTAGATTTAAGTTACAGCCCAGAAGCAAATTCTCCTGTATAACTTAAAATATACAGATGAAAATTAGGTTGGGGAAAACCAGGTTCTGGAGCTACTAGGCATGTCGTCACACTTCTCTTTAAATTTTTCTGATTGATACATTGTGTTCCAGTTGATTTCTAGGGGAGAAAATAGCATGAATAATAAACAACAAATAACAAATACAAACCCATCATACAGATTAGAGTTCTTTCTATTCCTTTCACATTTTAAACATTACAATCCTCTAAAGTACCTTCATTAAACATGCGACACAGAGTTGATGCTCTAAAACTACTATAGTACCTTCATTAAACATGCGACACAGAGTTGATGCTCTAAAACTACTAAAGTACCTTCATTAAACATGCGACACAGAGTTGATGCTCTAAAACTACTATAGTACCTTCATTAAACATGCGACACAGAGGTGATGCTGTAAAACTACTATAGTACCTTCATTAAACATGCGACACAGAGTTGATGCTCTAAAACTACTATAGTACCTTCATTAAACATGCGACACAGAGTTGATGCTCTAAAACTACTATAGTACCTTCATTAAACATGCGACACAGAGTTGATGCTCTAAAACTACTATAGTACCTTCATTAAACATGCGACACAGAGGTGATGCTGTAAAACTACTATAGTACCTTCATTAAACATGCGACACAGAGTTGATGCTGTAAAACTACTAAAGTACCTTCATTAAACATGCGACACAGAGTTGATGCTCTAAAACTACTATAGTACCTTCAATAAACATGCGACACAGAGTTGATGCTCTAAAACTACTATAGTACCTTCATTAAACATGCGACACAGAGGTGATGTTCTAAAACTACTATAGTACCTTCATTGAACATGCGACACAGAGGTGATGCTGTAAAACTACTATAGTACCTTCATTAAACATGCGACACAGAGTTGATGCTGTAAAACTACTAAAGTACCTTCATTAAACATGCGACACAGAGTTGATGCTCTAAAACTACTATAGTACCTTCATTAAACATGCGACACAGAGGTGATGTTCTAAAACTACTAAAGTACCTTCATTAAACATGCGACACAGAGTTGATGCTCTAAAACTACTAAAGTACCTTCATTAAACATGCGACACAGAGTTGATGCTCTAAAACTACTAAAGTACCTTCATTAAACATGCGACACAGAGTTGATGCTCTAAAACTACTATAGTACCTTCATTAAACATGCGACACAGAGGTGATGTTCTAAAACTACTATAGTACCTTCATTAAACATGCGACACAGAGTTGATGCTCTAAAACTACTAAAGTACCTTCATTAAACATGCGACACAGAGTTGATGCTCTAAAACTACTATAGTACCTTCATTAAACATGCGACACAGAGTTGATGCTCTAAAACTACTAAAGTACCTTCATTAAACATGCGACACAGAGTTGATGCTCTAAAACTACTAAAGTACCTTCATTAAACATGCGACACAGAGTTGATGCTCTAAAACTACTAAAGTACCTTCATTAAACATGCGACACAGAGTTGATGCTCTAAAACTACTAAAGTACCTTCATTAAACATGCGACACAGAGGTGATGCTGTAAAACTACTAAAGTACCTTCATTAAACATGCGACACAGAGTTGATGCTCTAAAACTACTAAAGTACCTTCATTAAACATGCGACACAGAGTTGATGCTCTAAAACTACTATAGTACCTTCATTAAACATGCGACACAGAGTTGATGCTCTAAAACTACTAAAGTACCTTCATTAAACATGCGACACAGAGTTGATGCTCTAAAACTACTATAGTACCTTCATTAAACATGCGACACAGAGGTGATGTTCTAAAACTACTATAGTACCTTCATTAAACATGCGACACAGAGTTGATGCTCTAAAACTACTATAGTACCTTCATTAAACATGCGACACAGAGGTGATGCTCTAAAACTACTAAAGTACCTTCATTAAACATGTGACACAGAGTTGATGCTCTAAAACTACTAAAGTACCTTCATTAAACAAGCGACACAGAGTTGATGCTCTAAAACTACTATAGTACCTTCATTAAACATGCGACACAGAGTTGATGCTCTAAAACTACTAAAGTACCTTCATTAAACAAGCGACACAGAGTTGATGCTCTAAAACTACTAAAGTACCTTCATTAAACAAGCGACACAGAGTTGATGCTCTAAAACTACTATAGTACCTTCATTAAACATGCGACACAGAGTTGATGCTCTAAAACTACTATAGTACCTTCATTAAACAAGCGACACAGAGTTGATGCTCTAAAACTACTAAAGTACCTTCATTAAACAAGCGACACAGATTTGATGCTCTAAAACTACTAAAGTACCTTCATTAAACAAGCGACACAGAGTTGATGCTCTAAAACTACTAAAGTACCTTCATTAAACAAGCGACACAGAGTTGATGCTCTAAAACTACTATAGTACCTTCATTAAACATGCGACACAGAGTTGATGCTCTAAAACTACTAAAGTACCTTCATTAAACAAGCGACACAGAGTTGATGCTCTAAAACTACTAAAGTACCTTCATTAAACATGTGACACAGAGTTGATGCTCTAAAACTACTAAAGTACCTTCATTAAACATGTGACACAGAGTTGATGCTCTAAAACTACTAAAGTACCTTCATTAAACATGTGACACAGAGTTGATGCTCTAAAACTACTAAAGTACCTTCATTAAACATGTGACACAGAGTTGATGCTCTAAAACTACTAAAGTACCTTCATTAAACATGTGACACAGAGTTGATGCTCTAAAACTACTAAAGTACCTTCATTAAACATGTGACACAGAGTTGATGCTCTAAAACTACTAAAGTACCTTCATTAAACATGCGACACAGAGTTGATGCTCTAAAACTACTAAAGTACCTTCATTAAACATGCGACACAGAGTTGATGTTCTAAAACTACTAAAGTACCTTCATTAAACATGCGACACAGAGTTGATGCTCTAAAACTACTATAGTACCTTCATTAAACATGCGACACAGAGTTGATGTTCTAAAACTACTAAAGTACCTTCATTAAACAAGCGACACAGAGTTGATGCTCTAAAACTACTATAGTACCTTCATTAAACATGCGACACAGAGGTGATGCTCTAAAACTACTATAGTACCTTCATTAAACATGCGACACAGAGTTGATGCTGTAAAACTACTAAAGTACCTTCATTAAACATGCGACACAGAGTTGATGCTCTAAAACTACTATAGTACCTTCATTAAACATGCGACACAGAGTTGATGCTCTAAAACTACTATAGTACCTTCATTAAACATGCGACACAGAGTTGATGCTCTAAAACTACTATAGTACCTTCATTAAACATGCGACACAGAGTTGATGTTCTAAAACTACTAAAGTACCTTCATTAAACAAGCGACACAGAGTTGATGCTCTAAAACTACTAAAGTACCTTCATTAAACATGTGACACAGAGTTGATGCTCTAAAACTACTATAGTACCTTCATTAAACATGTGACACAGAGTTGATGCTCTAAAACTACTAAAGTACCTTCATTAAACATGTGACACAGAGTTGATGCTCTAAAACCAGATGGAACCGCACCCATGGCATGCAGAACATCAGAGACTGTTGTCTGAAGAGGACACATCATAAAACTTTGTTACTATACACACAGAAGAGATATCATGTTATATACAGAACATCAGAGACTGTTGTCTGAAGAGGACACATCATAAAACTTTGTTACTATACACACAGAAGAGATACCATGTTATATACAGAACATCAGAGACTGTTGTCTGAAGAGGACACATCATAAAACTTAGTTACTATACACACAGAAGAGATATCATGTTATATACAGAACATCAGAGACTGTTGTCTGAAGAGGACACATCATAAAACTTTGTTACTATACACACAGAAGAGATACCATGTTATATACAGAACATCAGAGACTGTTGTCTGAAGAGGACACATCATAAAACTTTGTTACTATACACACAGAAGAGATATCATGTTATATACAGAACATCAGAGACTGTTGTCTGAAGAGGACACATCATAAAACTTTGTTACTATACACACAGAAGAGATATCATGTTATATACAGAACATCAGAGACTGTTGTCTGGAGAGGACACATCATAAAACTTTGTTACTATACACACAGAAGAGATACCATGTTATATACAGAACCTCACAGATGTTGTCCGAAGAACCACAAATTATGACTGTTATGACACAAACTGAAGAGATACCATGTTATATACAGAACATCAGAGACTGTTATGACACACACTGAAGAGATACCATGTTATATACAGAACATCAGAGACTGTTATGACACACACTGAAGAGATACCATGTTATATACAGAACATCAGAGACTGTTATGACACACACTGAAGAGATACCATGTTATATACAGAACATCAGAGACTGTTATCTTAAAAGAATACAGAATAATAATGAACAGAAATCATGTAACATACAGTCTGTGTCCAGGTTTTGCACTGTTTATGTATAAGGGGAATGTCATTCGAAAGGAATGAATCGGAGACAGGATGATAAAGATGATGACATGGCTATTTACTAGAGCTAGAACATGACACAAACACCAGTCAGTTATCTCTGTCAGAGATCAATGGTCAGGTGAGAGAAGGGGAACAGATTTCAGCTACTGTGTAAGAGATTGCAGGTCAGAGGAGAGGAGAAAACAGATTCATGTGTTACCTGACACAAACAGTGGTCACTTATCTCCATGAGAGACCATCAGTCAGGGAAAACAGGTTCATGTGTTACCTGACACAAACAGTGGTCACTTATCTCCATGAGAGACCATCAGTCAGGGAAAACAGGTTCATGTGTTAAATGACACAAACACCACTCAGTTATCTCTGTGAGAGATTGTCAGTCAGGGAAGAACAGGTTCATGTGTTACCTGATAGAAACAGTGGTCACATCTCTATGAGAGACTGCTGGTCAGGAAAAAACAGGTGCATGTGTTACCTGACATAAATAGTTATCTCTTTGAGAGACTGTCAGGGAAGAACAGGTTCATGTGTTCACTGACTGCCTACAGTACATCATACCTTATCAACTGCTGTAATATATCTTACCTCATTGACTGCTGTCTTGATGCCTTTCCACAATTCTGTGCCACTGAAAGATGGATGCAAGTGTTACTTCAACATGTGTGTGCACACACAAAATACTAAATCTATTCACATCAAGGCAACTTAACGCATGCACACACACACAAAATACTCAATCTGTTAACATCAAGGCAACTCAAGATACACCTAAACCATAACACTAATCTCTGCACACATCACTACAATTCCCCCCCCCTCCCGCCCCCGCCACACTCTCTCTCTCTTTTTTCTCTCTCTCAATCTCTCATGCACGTACGCACACACACACACGCTTGCTCGCACGCACGCGCACACACACTAATCTCTACATACATTAAGACAAATCAAGATTCCTCCACACATACACAAACAGAGCCTCAAACATATAAGTACACATACAATGCTTACTTTTGCACACATCAAGGCAATTCAACACACATAACACTACTCTCTGCACACTTTAGGGCAACTCAACACACATAAAACTGCTCTCTGCACACATTAGGGCAACTCAACACACATAAAACTACTCTCTGCACACATTAGGGCAACTCAACACACATAAAACTGCTCTCTGCACACATTAGGGCAACTCAACACACATAAAACTACTCTCTGCACACATTAGGGCAACTCAACACACATAAAACTGCTCTCTGCACACATTAGGGCAACTCAACACACATAAAACTACTCTCTGCACACATTAGGGCAACTCAACACACATAAAACTGCTCTCTGCACACATTAGGGCAACTCAACACACATAACACTACTCTCTGCACACATTAGGGCAACTCAACACACATAACACTGCTCTCTGCACACATTAGGGCAACTCAACACACATAAAAACGAATCTATGCACACACCAGGGCAACTCAACACACAGAAAACTACTCTCTGCACACACAAAGACATATTAGCACATGTGCACACACACACACAACAATAATCTCTACACACATCATCATCATCATCAGGTGCCTTGCCGACTGGCGTAGGCGATCATGCCTCTCCATAATCTGCCATCTCCTGCAGCATGTATCAGTTCGTGTGCCGACACACCTCCATGCCATGCAACAAGACTGGCAAGCATCTTCTCTCGTTGTCTTCCTCTATCCCTTTTTCCACAGATCTTTTCAGTGGTCACAACATGTTCTATTTTTCCTCTTCTCATAACATGGCCGAAAAATGATGACTGTCTCCTTCTGATGTCTGTGATAAGTTGTCTTCAGGCTCCCGCCTCTTTCAAAACCTCTTGGTTGCTCTTTTTGGCTGTCTAAAGTATTCTAAGCATTCTCTGAGGCCTCTAAAAATTGTTTGGCCTGCCTACCGATTGTCCAGGATTCACATCCATATGTTAAAACTGGATGTATGTAGGAAGCAAGAATTCTTTTTCTAACTCTCAATGACAAGGTTATATTGCACAAGATGTTTTTCATTTAATAAAATGCAGTTTTTGCCTGTCCAATTCTGTTTCTTATTACAGTTATGCATCTTCCATCTGATGATATCAATGTGCCCAGATACTTAAATTTCTGTACTTGTCCTAAAATAACACCATTGACTTTTATTACACATTTAGGAATAATTTGTTTCTTTGATACCACCATTACTTCTGTCTTCCCATTATTCAAACTGAGGCCCATTCTTCCACTTTCTAACACCACAATGTCTATCATTTCCTGTAGTTCTTTCTGACTTGTTGCTATCAAGACTGTGTCATCAGCATAACGTAAATTGTTTATATTGTGCCCACCAACCACAATTCCGGGCATATCAATTAAAGAACTCATTATATATTCACCATATATTGAAAACAAATCAGGTAAAAGTAAACATCCTTGTCGTACGCCCCTCTTTATGCTTTGAAATGTACCTAAACAGTTGTTTATTCTTATAGCTGCTGTTTGCTGCCAATACATATTCTTTATTATTCATAGATCTTTCCCATCAATGTTTAATTTTTCTAACAGTTTGATTACTTCTTCATGCTTCACACAGTCAAATGCTTTTGTATAGTCTATGAAGCATAAGTACAAATCAGTCTTTACTTCTATAGCTCTTTCTGACAATGTCCTTAGGATGTAAATGGCATTGTTTGTACCTTTTCCTTCTACAAATCCACATTGTTCATCGCTGATTTCTGGTTTAATTTTGTTTCTTATTCTTCTCATAATTATTTTAAGTAAAATCTTAGTCATGTGACTCATAAGACATTGTGCGATGTTCTTCACATTTTAAAGTGCCTTGTTTCTTTGGCAGAGTTATAAATATGGATTTTAAAAAGTCATTTGGAATATACCCACTATTATAAATATCATTTAAAAGTTTAGTTATTATTTCAATTCCAAAATCTCCCAGTGCCTCGATTTCTTCCAGTGAGATGTTGTCTGGCCCGGGGTGCTTTTCCTTTCTTCATATGATGTATTGCATCCTCAACTTCTGCGGTCATTACTGGTGGACCATCATTGTTGGTCTGCAGCTCTACATCTGGTCTATTATCATCATACAATTCCCCTTTATACTCTGTCCATCTGTTAATTATACTACTATGTCCCAATAATAAGTCACCATCTTTTGATTTCAAACATCCAATGCTGTTACGTGTCATCTTTCCTGTTAACATATTTATCTGTTGGTACGCGCCTAGTAGTAGGACAGGCTCCTACCCTCTACACACATCAAGGAAATTAAACACACACACAAAACTAATCACACACATGAAGGCAACTCTACACGCACACACAAAACATTAATCTCTACACACGTTACTAAAACTCAAAAGACACACACACACTCACATTACCAATCTATGCACACATCAAGACAGCTCATCACACATTCACACACACAAGAATAATCTCTGCACACGTCAAAACAACTTAACACAAACACACAAATAACACACATCAAGACAACTCCACAATACTTTTTTTCTCATATTCTCTTTCGTTTATTATTTACAGCTCAGGCTGTATTTCACTGTTCATCACCCATGTTCTGTCTCCTGTTCAATCTAACAAGTAACAACGTCCAGGATTCTTGTCGTTTGTCTCTGGTGGTCTGTGTGCCTGATACTTGTAGAGACCTGTTGTAACTTGATGGCTGAAATGGCCAAGAGCACAGTGACTGCTTTACTTTCAGATTTTCATTATCTATTTTAGACCTGGCTAATCTGCAGGTGAAATTTTATACCTGCGAATGTGTACTCAGAAGAGCAGCAATGTCAAAAATTTACTCTCTGCTGAAGCCAATGCTACACTAAAAGGATACATGCCAAAACGACCTGAAAGATATCAACATCGACACAGACACTTACCAGAGATGAGGACAGACTGACGCCCATGGAGGCCGACAATGAAAGACAAACTGTCGCACTTAGCTAGATGCCAAACACAATAAGCTACAGAGAGGAGATGTCTGAGAGAAAAGCAGCTTCAGAACGACAGAGTATCAACATTGATATGTGGACTATGTGACAGAGACTGTCACTCCAATACTGGACTTTAGTCACAGCAGACGCTGTTCCCAAAAGCGGCAGCACAACTCCATGGTTCATAAGATCTACTAACTAACTATCTAGTGATAAAATAACAGGCAATGCTGTTCTATGATTCCTCTGCACTTAGAAACTGTGAAAAGTTGTGAACAATCTGTCGGTCAACGTTTATGATTATAGACTTTGAGAAAAACAAATTTGAGCTACCCTGCATCACTAGTTAAAGTGACCCAAAGTCTGCAGCATGAGGAGAAAAAATAGTCTATCAGCTCCAGATGTTGGAGAGACATGTGAACAAGCCAGTAAAATTAACATACAAACATACAGAAATTAACTTGGACGGTTTCATGAATATATCTTCTCCTTGATGAGTCATCTGCTCCAGATGTTGGAGAGACATGTGAACAAGCCAGTAAAATTAACATACAAACATACAGAAATTAACTTGGACGGTTTCATGAATATATCTTCTCTTTGATGAGTCACCTGCTCCAGATGTTGGAGAGACATGTGAACAAGCCAGCAAAATTAACATACAAACATACAGAATAAGGACAGAAATTAACTTGGACGATATCATGAATATATCTTCTCCTTGATGAGTCACCTGCTCCAGATGTTGTGAGACATATCAACAAGCCAGCAAAATTAACATTTAAACATACAGAAATTAACTTGGACGGTTTCATTAATATACCTTCTCCTTGATGAGTCACCTGTTCCATCTTCTTCATCTTCTTCCTCTTCAGCCTCATCTTCTGTGGAGTGAAAGAAAACCACATTTTTCATAAAACCTGCTCTAGTTTGGCCAGCAGTGGATAATTTCCACAAATGTTGTATGTATTGTGACAGATGAAGGTGACATATTAAAGTGATAGTGTCCAGAAATATTGTATGTATTCTGAAAGATGAAGGTGACTCATCAAAGTGATAATGTATGTACTGTGATAGATTGTGACTCATGAAGGTGAACATGACCAGAAATACTGTACTGTAATGAATGAAGGTGATGGATGAAGAAATGTTGTATGTATTGTGACAGATGGTGACTCATGAAGGTGAAAATGTCCAGAAACATTTTATGTATTGTGACAGATGGTGACTCATGAAGGTGAAGATGTCCAGAAATATTCCATGTATTGTGATTTAATATAAAGACAAATATAAAGAAATATAAAGACACTAGACCACCCAACAGAAGCAGAATGACCCTGGGCCGGCCACTGAACAGAAACATAAAAACCTTTGACCACTCAACAGAAACATAAAAACCTTTGACCACTCAACAGAAACATAAAGACACTGAGCCACTCAACAAAAATATAAAGACTCTGGGCCACTCAACAGAAACAAAAAGACCTTGGACGACCCAACAGAAACACTAAGACACTGGGGCAATCAACAGAAACATAAAGACTGAGCCACTCAACAGAAACATAAAGACTGAGCCACTCAACAGAAACATAAAGACTGAGCCACTCAACAGAAACATAAAGACTGAGCCACTCAACAGAAACACAAAGACTGAGCCACTTAACAGAAACATAAAGAGTGAGCCACTTAACAGAAACATAAAGAGTGAGCCACTCAACAGAAACATAAATACTGAGCCACTTAACAGAAACATAAAGACTGAGCCACTCAACAGAAACATAAAGACTGAGCCACTCAACAGAAACATAAAGACTGAGCAACTCAACAGAAACATAAAGACTGAGCCACTCAGCAGAAACATAAAGACTGAGCCACTTAACAGAAACATAAAGAGTGAGCCACTTAACAGAAACATAAAGACTGAGCCACTTAACAGAAACATAAAGACTGAGCCACTTAACAGAAACATAAAGAGTGAGCCACTTAACAGAAACATAAAGAGTGAGCCACTTAACAGAACCATAAAGACTGAGCCACTTAACAGAAACATAAAGACTGAGCCACTTAACAGAAACATAAAGACTGAGCCACTTAACAGAAACATAAAGACTGAGCCACTCAACAGAAACATAAAGAGTGAGCCACTTAACAAAAACATAAAGACTGAGCCACTTAACAGAAACATAAAGGCTGAGCCACTCAGCAGAAACATAAAGACTGAGCCACTCAACAGAAACATAAAGACTGAGCCACTCAACAGAAACATAAAGACTGAGCCACTTAACAGAAACATAAAGACTGAGCCGCTTAACAGAAACATAGAGACTGAGCCACTTAACAGAAACATAAAGACTGAGCCACTTAACAGAAACATAAAGACTGAGCCACTCAACAGAAACATAAAGACTGAGCCACTTAACAGAAACATAAAGACTGAGCCACTTAACAGAAACATAAAGACTGAGCCACTCAACAGAAACATAAAGACTGAGCCACTCAACAGAAACATAAAGACTGAGCCACTCAACAGAAACATAAAGACTGAGCCACTCAACAGAAACATAAAGACTGAGCCACTCAACAGAAACATAAAGACTGAGCCACTCAACAGAAATACTCACCATCATCCAGCTGCACATTTCTGTATGGATTGTGTACCTGGGGGGAAAAGGGGAGAAAAAAGGGGGGGGGGGGAGGAAAGGAAGACAGATATGAGTCATACATGCAAGGAAATGTCAGTTTTGCTCTAATACAGAAAACAGACAACTGTCAGTACAGATGTAGGCTGTATAACAGAAAACAGACAACTGTCAGTACAGATGTAGGCTGTATAACAGAAAACAGACAACTGTCAGTACAGATGTGGGCTGTATAACAGAAAACAGACAACTGTGTGCTGTCCAGGGCCGCTGCTTCCCTCAAAGTGAAGTCAGACCCTCAACACCCGCTCGATGAGGAATTGTTCCAGTAAAAACAGAACACACTTAAACAAGGCCAATCTGGATGGGTCAGACTGAGGACGCCGTCTAACATGTTTACTGACAATACTTTTAGAATTGAATGGATACCTATGCCTCCTGCTCTAAACATTACAGGTCACATCACACTTGATGGAAGCTGTAGAGAGCAGATTCCTGGCATTGTGGACACTTTAGTCAGAACACTGATTGACAAAAACACAGATGAAGGTGCTGCTATAGTTTACACAGACGGATCAGTAATTTGGGGCAAGTGAAGTGTATGTGCATTCACAGTAAGCTCAGGGGGGAAAACCATCCAGGAGATGAATGGTGCCTTTGCTGTTACAACCAGCAGCCTTACAATGGAAACTATGGCTGTTACAAGGGAATTAGCATGGCTTGGTACTCAAGAGTTGAGTTCACAGACGAGTGCAAACTTAGTGACTCGATGAATATGCTTTAAACAAATCCAGTCTGGTTTTATCAGGCAAGAATGATTGCAACACTAGGCACCTCACAAATGGCTGCCCTAACCTTCATCTTTGTGCCAGGTTATGCGGGTGTCCAAGGAAATACACATGCAGATTATCTTGCTAACACCATGGTTGCTATGGCTAGTTCAGTACAGGACAGAAGTGATGTTTATCAAAGCCAGGCGCAGCCCTTACCGTGACGAAGAGCACGCTAAACAAAGAGCATGACTCTGAATACCTGCTGATGGACATGGGGGTGCAGCCTGGAGCTGCAAGAAATGAACATTTCACTAAGGGTACAAGACCTTTTATTAACCAACACAGAACAGGCGTCATCAGTCGTTTTACACTTGTGGAGCATCTGAAGAGAAGATTGGAGCACCTATGGATCTGTTTGGAGTGCTGTGATGATTATCCTTACTAATCACAAAACTGTTAGTACAGACTTGAGATGTCTAATAGACATCTGTATCTGGCTTAGGCCAAAGGGCGAAAGCTCATGCGCCGCTGGATCAATAACAACAACAACAACAACAACAACTGTATCTGGCTGTATAACAGAAAACACACAAATGTCAGTATAGATGTGAGCTGTATAACAGAAACATTCAACTGTCAGTACAGACTTGGGATGTGTAACAGAAACATTCAACTGTCAGTACAGACTTGGGATGTGTAACAGAAACATTCAACTGTCAGTACAGACTTGGGATGTGTAACAGAAACATTCAACTGTCAGTACAGACTTGCAATGTGTAACAGAAACATTCAACTGTCAGTACAGACTTGCAATGTGTAACAGAAACATTCAACTGTCAGTACAGACTTGCAATGTGTAACAGAAACATTCAACTGTCAGTACAGACTTGCAATGTGTAACAGAAACATTCAACTGTCAGTACAGACTTGCAATGTGTAACAGAAACATTCAACTGTCAGTACAGACTTGCAATGTGTAACAGAAACATTCAACTGTCAGTACAGACTTGCAATGTGTAACAGAAACATTCAACTGTCAGTACAGACTTGCAATGTGTAACAGAAAACACACAACTCTCAGTACAGACTTGGGATGTGTAACAGAAAACACACAACTCTCAGTACAGACTTGGGATGTGTAACAGAAAACACACAACTCTCAGTACAGACTTGGGATGTGTAACAGAAAACACACAACTGTCAGTACAGACTTGGGATGTGTAACAGAAAACACACAACTGTCAGTACAGACTTGGGATGTGTAACAGAAAACACACAACTGTCAGTACAGACTTGGGATGTGTAACAGAAAACACACAACTGTCAGTACAGACTTGGGATGTGTAACAGAAAACACACAACTCTCAGTACAGACTTGGGATGTGTAACAGAAAACACACAACTGTCAGTACAGACTTGGGATGTGTAACAGAAACATTCAACTGTCAGTGCAGGCTTGCGATGTAAAACAGAAAACACAACTTTTAGTACAAACATTGAATGTATAACCAAAAAAAAGCACAACTGTGAGTATAGACTTGATATGTACAACAGAAAACACACAACTGTGAGTATAGACTTGATATGTATAACAGAAAACACAACTGTGAGTATAGACTTGATATGCATAACAGAAAACACACAACTGTGAGTATAGACTTGAAATGTACAACAGAAAACACACAACTGTGAGTATAGACTTGATATGTACAACAGAAAACACACAACTGTGAGTATAGACTTGATATGTATAACAGAAAACACACAACTGTGAGTATAGACTTGATATGTATAACAGAAAACACACAACTGTGAGTATAGACTTGACTTGATATGTACAACAGAAAACACACAACTGTGAGCATAGACTTGATATGTATAACAGAAAACACACAACTGTGAGTATAGACTTGATACGGATAACAGAAAACATACAATTGTCAGTACAGAAATGGGACTAGAAAAGAAACCAGAAGGCAGAAGTTATCACTGCTGAGAGATGATTATTGGTGCCATGTGGTCAACAGTCTCTCTTCAGCAACCAGTGCACTGCCTTCTAGCTCCCAGTGGAGCACAGGAGCTCAGTCAACTCATGCCAAGTTGTTTTATCCTTCGCCACTGCATGCAGCTCACCCCATGTCCTCCCCATCTTTTTAACTTCTTTTCCTTTTCAGGTATACTTTTATTTCTATGCTCCTGTGGGTTCCAGTACAAAGACATTCTAGTTATATTGTTTTCACATTTTCTCAATGTGTGTCCTATCCAATGCCGTGTTCTTTTTTTTTTTTTTACCTCTTGGTCAATTGATACTTGTTTAGCTCTCTTAAAAAACTCAACATTAGTAATTCTAGCATACCCTTTAACTTCCTGGAAAGTGCTCTTGTCTAGCCACACCCCTTGTAACATGTTGTCTTGCAGTCTGGTCATGGTTGCAAATTCAGTCATCACTTGGTTCTTGCAAACTTCTTACATCTCACAAACATTTAGAATACCTGCCTGGTCCATGGCTTGTCCACCCTCCAAGGTAGCTTTACGTTTAAGCCTATCATGGTCTATGGCTTGTCCACCCTCCAAGGTAGCTTTACGTACAAGCCTCCAGCAATGTTATTACCTTGGTCACTACCATGACCTCCAAAGTTAGACTACTTGTGGTCAAGGCAATAGCACCAGAATTTTGCTCCATAATTCTAACTCCAACCGGAGCCATAAAAGCTCAAGAGCTTCTCACTGGCCAATCACAAATCCGTCTGTGTCAATGACTAGAAATGACAGCATTCCCCCCCCCCCTTTCCCTGTCAAGAGAATGCTCCTAAATCAAAGCCAAATGTCAGAGATTAGGCAGAAAGCCAGGTTTTTTCTTCACCAGATAAATGCTACAAGAGACAACACAACATTTATTAAATTACCTACTGACATACAACAAAAACAACATACTACACAACCTACCTTCAAAAAAGTTGAGGGCACCAGTCCTCTTCCACCTTTATCATTTTCAGCTGTCCACCATCCGTCCTCTCTGAAATTAAAATTCATCTAGGTAAAGGTGAGCGGCTGCACAACAAGATAACAGATCTTTACAGCTTCTCCTTCTTCTTCCTTGTCCTCTTCTTCTTCATCTCCTATGAGCGACCTAGCATAAAGCAGCAACTATAGCTCTCCAATTCTCTTTGTCACAGACGCATATGTTGCTTTCATCATTATTTGCTACCCAGCTGTTCATAGACATGTTTCTCTGCTTTCATCATTATTTGCTACCCAGCTGTTCATAGACATGTGTCTCTGCTTTCACAAATGTCAACAGCCTATACTTAAGATATTCTACCCATAAGACAATACTGGTGAAATCTGCTACAAAAATTAAATTAAATATATATAACATTTTGGTGAAGACATAACGGTGAAGACAGTCCCATAGCACATAAGGCCCATGAGGTGATCCGTAGGCCAACACACATTCTAGGCTAAAACATAAAGGCTGGTGTGACCAGTTCACTTCCTCTTGACCTTTCACCTTTTGCAAACTTTGAGGACCGGCATTTATGGGGCTGGGCCAGCATGTTAGCTTCAACTGATATCACTCTAAAAATACAGAAAGGCACAATAAACTCATGTGCTTGAATGTCAGAAAATACAGAGAGACACCAGAAACTTGTGTGCTTGAACTGACAGATAGAAAATACAGGGAGACACCAGAAACTTGTGTGCTTGAACTGACAGATAGAAAATACAGGGAGACACCTGAAACTTGTGTGCTTGAATGACAGATAGAAAATACAGGGAGACACCTGAAACTTGTGTGCTTGAACTGACAGATAGAAAATACAGGGAGACACCAGAAACTTGTGTGCTTGAACTGACAGATAGAAAATACAGGGAGACACCTGAAACTTGTGTGCTTGAACTGACAGATAGAAAATACAGGGAGACACCTGAAACTTGTGTGCTTGAACTGACAGATAGAAAATACAGGGAGACACCAGAAACTTTGTGTGCTTGAACTGACAGATAGAAAATACAGGGAGACACCAGAAACTTGTGTGCTTGAACTGACAGATAGAAAATACAGGGAGACACCAGAAGCTCATGTTTTAGAAACAAAACCCCCAAAAATGTTTATGTACCTGGTGTCAATGACCGTTAACACATCACCTTCCTTGAAACTCAGGTCCCCGTCTTGTTCTCCTTCAAACTCTTGGACGGCCACAAAACGGTGAGTCTGCCAAAGAAATGAATGACAACAGCCTCAAAAAGAAAACTTGGTTTTTGTGGCAGTGTGGCTGCTAGTGGATTCACTTGTGAACCCAGTGCTTCTGGGTTCTAATCCATTTCAGTGTAGCTTTTACTTGTCCAGCAGTGTCTAATCAAGGCTCACTTTCACTGTAGTCCAATGTATATCTCTGTTGTGACACTATCTAGTTTTCCATGCCCCACAAGCCTAAGCATGCCTGACGGAACAAGTGTAATAAGATAGTTTATATGTCTTTTGTGTTTAACAAGGTCAGTGATCCAATAAATCATATGGAATTAAAATTTATCATCCCTGTCTCCCGTCACTCAGATACCCTTGATTATGTGGTCAGTCGTCTCGCTTTATCTACCTGAAATATTAATAGGATTCTTCTGTCTGTACCACCTGTCATGCCAAAGCAATATGTGTTCCTATATATAATCCCAAGCGGGTCCTAGGACACCTCAGTGCTAACCCAAATCTCCCGTCCTCATGCTTTAGTGTCAGAGCTTCCCTGTGTTAATTCATCGGAACTAATCGTACTCCCCCCCCCCCCTCCCCTCCCCCAATGTCAAACTGCTGAGAGATTTTTTTTATGTCCAACTGCTGAGAGATTGTCCAACTGCTGAGAGATTGTTTATATCCAACTGCTGAGAGATTGTTTATGTCCAACTGCCGAGAGATTGTTTATGTCCAACTGCTGAGAGATTGTTTATATCCAACTGCTCAGAGATTGTTTATATCCAAGTGCTGAGAGATTGTTTATGTCCAACTGCTGAGAGATTGTTTATGTCCAACTGCTGAGATATCGTTTATATCCAACTGCTGAGAGATTGTTTATGTCCAACTGCTGACAGATTGTTTTTATCCAACTGATGAGAGATTTATAATGTTTAACTGCTGAGAGATTGTTTATATCCAACTGCTGAGAGATTGTTTATATCCAACTGCTGAGAGATTGTTTATATCCAACTACTGAGAGATTGTTTACGTCCAACTGCTGAGAGATTGTTTATATTCAACTGCTGAGATATTGTTTATGTCCAACTGCTGAGAGATTGTTTATGTCCAACTGCTGAGAGATTGTTTATGTCCAACTGCTGAGAGATTGTTTTTATCCAACTGATGAGAGATTGTTTATGTTCAACTGCTGAGAGATTGTTTATGTTCAACTGCTGAGAGATTGTTTATGTCCAACTGCTGACAGATTGTTTTTATCCAACTGATGAGAGATTTATAATGTTTAACTGCTGAGATACTGTTTATATTCAACTGCTGAGAGATTGTTTATATCCAACTGCTTAGAGATTGTTTATATCCAACTGCTGAGAGATTTTTCATATCCAAATGCTGAGAGATTGTTTATGTCCAATTCAAGGACCGACATCACAGCATTTGGGTCATTCCCATAAGCGTTCCATTCCCATCTTCAGCAGTCAGTGAAGAGTTCCAATATTAATGATGACAGCAGCATTCTGATTAAACGTCAGTCTTGCCTTTCCTCTGAGCCTCGAGCATCTGCCAGAACCTCTCATCACTCCCCCCTGCATCAATCTCACCAGACTGTGGTGATCTGTCTGCTCCTCCAAACTGTACACGCTCTCCCATAAAGCACTAACCACGTCTGCCTTATCATGTATCAGTATTCCACCAAGTTGTGCAGAGCCAGCCAGTCTGTCTAACTGTTATTTCCCAACACACCGGCGCAACCCGGTGAAAAAATCCAGACAATACTCCTCACTCGTGTCCTCCGCAGCGAAGCATGCCACTCTGCCCGAAGCATACCTGTCCTGATCTTCCTCGGCATGCTTTCTGAGTCAGTTACAATCACGATATGTGTGTGTGTGTGTGTGTGTTGTGTTCTCTAACCAGTAGAAAGCTGCAGTGACTGCCTCCACCTCCATTCTTAAGCTGGATGTTGTGGTATCATGTGCTAGGCTCTCCTGAACCAAATGTTGACCATTAACTTTTGCTAAGAAACCCCAAGCACTTCTTTTCGCTCGACACTGAACCATCTGTGTAATTGTTCAAATCTTCTGAGCGAGTATTATCTTGAATTAATTGCTGAATTTCCACCTCTGTGGCACCTGCTGGTCAGTCTCTGCATTCCCGGCTCAGCGTGATTATGACTCTACACAGGTCTGATTGTTCAGGTTGCACTTTGACCCACTCCTCTCCTCACCTAATGTTCTCAAGGATGCAAACCTGTCTGATTGTGTCTTCTGCCTGAGCCATCCATGACTTCTCTCTGATCAGGCGCTTACCCTTAACTGCACCCAGAGCCTAGTGCAAAGAGACAGAGACTTTGTATCCAACTGCTGAGAGATTGTCCAACTGCTGAGAGATTGTTTATATCCAGTCGCTGAGAGATTGTTTATATGCAACTGCTGAGAGATTGTCCAACTGCTGAGAGATTGTCCAACTGCTGAGAGATTGTCCAACTGCTGACAGATTGTTTACATGCAACTGCTGAGAGATTGTCCAACTGCTGAGAGATTGTCCAACTGCTGAGAGATTGTCCAACTGCTGAGAGACTGTTTATATCCAACTGCTGAGAGATTGTCCAACTGCTGAGAGACTGTTTATATCCAACTGCTGAGAGATTATTTATATCCAACTGCTGAGAGATTGTTTATATGCAACTGCTGAGATATTGTTTATACCCAACTGCTGAGAGATTGTTTCTATCCAACTGCTGAAAGATTTTTAATGTCCAACTGCCAAAAGTATTTATTTTTTTATACTCCCAACTGCTGAAAGATTGTTTATGGTTAACTACTGAGAGATATTTTTACTTATCTAAGGACTTGTAGCCCCGTCAAACATAAAGGTGATCAGTCTCTTTTCTCCTTCTTCTGCTTTTCATCAACAGAAAACAGACTCTCAGCCAATTATCAAACCCTCTGTAGACTTGTAAAAGGCAAATAGGTTTTTAAGTTAAGCTCTCTTTACTTACTCTTTTGCAGTTCACTATTAGTTTAGATTCTGCAATTAAAGCTTTCTGTAGAAGATAGGCAATATCATACCAGCCCTCCTGTTACCTCTTAGGGCAGGCATGCATGTATATTGCAGTGTAGTAACACATTGTGCCGTGGAAAAGTATAAGAACTTATTAAAAAAACTGGCAATGGCAAATGTAGCAAGCAGGGTAAGTTTTATTTAACATTATCAGTTTCCATTAGCAGGGTCAGTTTCCTTCAGTGTGGTCAGCTCCCTTGAGTGTAGTCAGCTCCCTTGAGTGTAGTCAGCTCCCTTGAGTGTAGTCAGCTCCCTTCAGTGTGGTCAGTTTCCTTGAGTGTAGTCAGCTCCCTTGAGTGTAGTCAGCTCCCTTGAGTGTGATCAGCTCCCTTGAGTGTAGTCAGCTCCCTTGAGTGTAGTCAGCTCCCTTGAGTGTAATCAGCTCCCTTGAGTGTAGTCAGCTCCCTTGAGTGTAGTCAGCTCCCTTGAGTGTAGTCAGCTCCCTTGAGTGTAGTCAGCTCCCTTGAGTGTAGTCAGCTTCCTTGAGTGTAGTCAGCCTTCTTTATTAAAACTCTTCTATGATAAGTTCAGGAGCTTTCAAGACCATTGTGGTCGTCATTTTTGCATCTTCTCAGACACTTAACTCAAACCTTCTTTCTGCCATAATTTTCTCTGTTGTCTCTATTCCCCTCCTGTTTGCTTTTTTCCCTCCTCCATGGCAATTTTTTCCCATCATTTCCTCTACATTCTTACGTTATTTGTTTCTTTTTACACATATCTTTATTTTTATGTCACTTATATCCATTAAAACACGTCTTTATATTGAAGCCGATATCTGCCTCAAGATCTTCAATTATTTTTTTTTTTCAATTTACCATAAACGGTGTATTTTTGTATTTTACCTTCCTCCTCCTATGTGTATGTCTCAGCCTACTTATGTATGTGTCTCAGCCTACTTATGTGTGTTTCTCAGCCTACTTATGTGTGTCTCAGCCTACTTATGTGTGTGTCTCAGCCTACTTTTGTGTCTCAGCTTACTTATGTGTGTCTCAGCCTATTTATGTGTGTGTCTCAGCCTAATTATGTGTGTGTCTCAGCCTACTTATGTGTGTGTCTCAGCCTACTTATGTGTGTGTCTCAGCCTACTTATGTGTGTCTCAGCCTACTTATGTGTGTGTCTCAGCCTACTTATGTGTGTCTCAGCCTACTTATGTGTGTGTCTCAACCTACTTTTGTGTCTCAGCCTACTTATGTGTGTCTCAGCCTACTTATGTGTGTGTCTCAGCCTAATTATGTGTGTGTCTCAGCTTACTTATGTGTGTCTCAGCCTACTTATGTGTGTCTCAGCCTACTTATGTGTGTCTCAGCCTACTTACGTGTGTGTCTCAGCCTACTTATGTGTGTGTCTCAGCCTACTTATGTGTGTCTCAGCCTACTTATGTGTGTGTCTCAGCCTACTTATGTGTGTGTCTCAGCCTACTTATGTGTGTCTCAGCCTACTTATGTGTGTGTCTCAGCCTACTTATGTGTGTCTCAGCCTACTTATGTGTGTGTCTCAACCTACTTTTGTGTCTCAGCCTACCTATGTGTGTCTCAGCCTACTTATGTGTGTCTCAGCTTACTTATGTTTGTGTCTCAGCTTACTTATGTGTGTCTCAGCCTACTTATTTGTGTCTCAGCCTACTTATGTGTGTCTCAGCCTACTTTTGTGTCTCAGCCTACTTATGTGTGTCTCAGCCTACGTATGTGTGTCTCAGCCTACTTATGTGTGTGTCTCAGCCTACTTATGTGTGTGTCTCAGCCTACTTATGTGTGTCTCAGCCTACTTATGTGTGTTTCAGCCTACATATGTGTGTGTCTCAGCCTACTTATGTGTGTGTCTCAGCCTACTTATGTGTGTCTCAGCCTACTTATGTGTGTCTCAGCCTACTTATGTGTGTGTCTCAGCCTACTTATGTGTGTCTCAGCCTACTTATGTGTGTCTCAGCCTACTTATGTGTGTGTCTCAGCCTACTTATGTGTGTCTCAGCCTACTTATGTGTGTGTCTCAACCTACTTTTGTGTCTCAGCCTACTTATGTGTGTCTCAGCCTACTTATGTGTGTGTCTCAGCCTACTTATGTGTGTGTCTCAGCCTACTTATGTGTGTGTCTCAGCCTACTTATGTGTGTCTCAGCCTACTTATGTGTGTGTGTCAGCATACTTATGTGTCTCAGCCTACTTATGTGTGTCTCAGCCTTCTTATGTGTGTGTCTCAGCTTACTTATGTGAGTGTATCAGCCTACTTATGTGTGTGTCTCAGCTTACTTATGTGTGTCTCAGCCTACTAAATCTTTAAAGGTTGAACACTGAAACAGCCATTGTTAACAGATATTTTTTTTCAAAAACACCAGTGAAAGCTGTTGGAAAGGTTTGTCCTGGTACAAGTCAGTTGATCCAGTTGCACAACTTGTCAAGAAGGGTGCTGAGGACACATGCTTGGTTACCAAGTTTCTGACTTAGCCACCAGCATTTTGTCTCCTCTGAAACTTCTGAATAATCTACCTGTTGTTGCTGCTGCCTTGTCTATCACTTGTTCCTCAGTGAAAAAGACGTAGAATTGAGAATGAGTTCTAGAAATTCTATGGCACACAACTGTACTCTAGTGAATCATTTCATAAAACTTACCGATTGAGTAACTTCTAAGTCACTATCTTTCTTTCTCATGGCCACTTTTGCATCCTTTTTCTTTGTTGAACCTTTATAATTATCTTGATCTTCTCTATCTTCCTCTTCTTCTTCTTCTTCATCTTCCTCCTCACTGTCTTCTTCATCTTCATCCTCATCGTCTTCTGTGTCACCATCATCAGCAGCTGTAGCGGACTTCTTCCTACATCACAAGACAATTAGGTCATTAAAATGGGTTTATATTCTAGGATTCAGACAAAGATAAGCCAGAGGCAAAATGGTCATCATCAAAATGTGAAGTGGTTAGAGGATTCAGACAAAGCCAGTGGCAAACATGGCCACAGAATATAAAGTGGTTAGAGGATTAAGATACAAATAAGTCAGTGGCAAACATGGCTACAGAATATAAAGTAGTTAGAGGATTCAGACAAAGATAAGTCAGTGGCAAACATAGCTGTCAGAATATAAAGTGGTTAGAGGATTCAGACAAAGATAAGTCAGTGGCAAACATAGCTGTCAGAATATAAAGTGGTTAGAGGATTCAGACAAAGATAAGTCAGTGGCAAACATGGCCATCAGAATATAAAGTGGTCAGAGTGTAGCACAGCTGTCTTCTGCATGTATGTTGATGTCCCACACCTGTCCGTCTTTTGTTTGCTACAGAAGGAATCAGCTGAAGAATACAGACGGGGAGAAAGATGGTTGTGTCGATAATGGCTGTTCATGCTTGCCACATGCTGTTCACATCCCTGAGGCTTGTATGATAAAATGTCACAAAACAACAATTCTTTTCTATACTGTCTTTCTTGATTGTTTTACCTCAGTAATGTTACAAAACAACAATTATTTTCTATACTGTCTTTCTTGATTGTTTTACCTCAGTAATGTCACAAAACAACAATTATTTTCTATACTGTCTTTCTTGATTGTTTTACCTCAGTAATGTCACAAAACAACAATTATTTTCTATACTGTCTTTCTTGATTGTTTTACCTCAGTAATGTCACAAAACAACAATTATTTTCTATACTGTCTTTCTTGGTTGTTTTACCTCAGTAAAGTCACAAAACAACAATTCTTTTCTATACTGTCTTTCTTGATTGTTTTACCTCAGTAATGTCACAAAACAACAATTCTTTTCTATACTGTCTTTCTTGATTGTTTTACCTCAGTAATGTCACAAAAAACATCAGCGGTATTCTAAACAACAGCCTGTTTCGCTCCACTTACTCTTGATGTCACCTTGTGTTCTTCATCTCTAGTTACTGTGTTAACTGGATCTAGTGTCTCTGCCACCTGGCTTCTAGTGTTGTCTGGTACTAATGGTCTGATCGTCAACTCTAACATCTTAATAGTGTTTCTGTCTAATGTGTCTCTGTTAACCATGGATCCCTCATCATGTCTGTTGTCTCTGTATGTCATTGTTTGTGTCGTTTCTGCTCTCTAGTAACTGTCTTTGAGACTCAATAGACTGGTTCTCCTTTCTTCTAGTGTTGAGCTGAAATCTCTAAAACTGAAGGTTTTCATCTGCGAAGGTCCATGTTACTAGTCCCTCTTCTTTAAGTCTCATAGACTGAAGAATAAAGATTCTCATCTTTGAGGGTCCATAGTACTAGTCCCTTATATTTAAAGTTTCGATGACTGAAGTTTGCCAAATAGTTTCTTAAACACCATTTATACTGAGGAGCTGGAATGTGTGGTATGTGTTTTTCTACTAACTACTTACTGCTTCTGGAAGATTCTTGTGTGCTAAAATGTGTTTACTTTGTACGTTCTCATCTGGGATTTTCTAATTACATCTCTATTGCAGAAGATAACTCTGCACCAAAATATGTCAATCAAACTGACAGTTGGCCTTCTGAGAGACTTCCAGAACTTCCAGAAAATGAATGTGTCAAGGCTGTCTCTCTCTGATATGGCACATCAACGATTACATCAGATGCTATTTATATAACTAGATTATTCATTTGCAAATATCTCTGCTAATAAACAAATTATGCTTCTAGAAAGGGAAAGTCAAGGTTGCTAATACTTGTCGATTTTTAAAGAGAGCTTAACTTAAAAACCTATTTCCTGACAAACAGGTGATGTCGTCTCCCTGTTACAACAGGATTAGGACAAAGATAATTCAGTGGCAAACATGGTCGCCATCAGAATATAAAGTGGTTGGAGAATTCAGACAAAGATAATTCAGTGGCAAACATGGCTGTCAGAATATAAAGTGGTTAGAGGATTCAGACAAAGATAATTCAGTGGCAAACATAGCTGTCAGAATATAAAGTGGTTAGAGGATTTAGACAAAGATAATTTAGTGGCAAACATGGTCGTCAGAATATAGTGGTTAGAGGATTAAGACAAAGATAAGTCAGAGGCAAACATGGCCATCGAAATATAAAGTGGGTAGAGGATTCAGACAAAAATAGTTCAGTGGCAAACATGGCTGTCAGAATATAAAGAGGTTAGAGGGTTCAGACATTATATTATTTTTCGTGATTGTATGTTTCCTGATTGTGTTGTTTGTGATTGTGTTATTCATGATTGTGTTATTTGTGATTGTGTTGTTCATGGCTGTGTTGTTTATGATTGTGTTGTTCCTGATTTTGTTGTTCAATGATTGTGTTGTATTCTGAAGCTGACTAGTTCTGCCTTTCATTTGGCCTGACATTTTTCATAACAAATGACAGAAAATTATGAATTACAACTTACACTTGATGGGCCTTGATATCCTGTTTCTGTGCATGACTGGATTCATCATCATCTTCTTCTTCTGTTTCTTCATCCTCATCTTCTTCTTCATCATCCTTATTACCAGCATCTTTTGTTTTCTGTTTGTGTACCGTTGATCTAACATGCAGAATTAGCACAAAGTCCACCAGTGAACATTTGAAAGACAAGTGAACATCTTCAGTTATAAATTACATTTATAAATAAGGAATCTGGCACAGCTTCTTCTTTTTTGTCAGACCATCTGGCAAGTGAAGTGTGATGTGATCAGTATCATGTTGGCCAACTTTACAATCCAGAACACTGCACATCACCCAGTGTTAGACCAGCATTATCTGGCAGCCAAGGTCATTTTGATGATTCCATCCTATCAGCCCATCCCCTCCCCTATGTCGCAGTGTGGCTGACATGCAAGCGAGGCACCAAGTTGCCATAGCTCTCCAACAAGGGCTCATGTTGGTGGTAACTGACTCTGTGTCTGTCCTGACAAGACAGACAGACAGACAGACAGACAGACAGACAGACAGACAGACAGACAGACAGACAGACAGACAGACAGGCAGGCAGGCAGGCAGGCAGACAGACAGACAGGAGGAAGCAGGAGAAAGAAAAAGAAAAGAGTGGAGTGTAACAGAGAGGAACACGATGGTCGAGAGATAAGTCAGAGACAGTGAAAAAAATAAATGAAGACCCATTATCAGTGTGAGATTATTATGACTCCAGCACAAGACACATTCAATGCTTACTGTTTTTCCTTGGCCTTTTTGCCTTTGTCTTCATCCTTATTGTCTTCTTCTTCTGTTTCTTCTTCGTCCTCATCATCCTCATCCTCATCTTCATCTTCATCCCTGTCATCATCATCATCTTCTTCTTCATCTGTCAACAATTACAAATAAACTTACAAACTGTACTTTCAAAGGGTTAAGAACTGGGTACTCAGGCCTGTCTAACATTATGCCCTGCCTATCCAATCCTTGCATACAGTTATTCATTGGTACATTAAAAACTGCAAGCATCACAAATTATGGAAATGTGCAGCTGTTGACATGAACACCTGGTGATCATTAGAGACAAGGAGAATTAGCTGTGTGGGAGAATTAGTTGTGTATGTGTGTGTTGGGGTGGATTAGTTGTGTGTGTTGGGGAAGGGGGATTAGTTTGTGTGCTGAGGGGAATTAGTTGTGTGAGTGTTGGGGGGAAGGGAAATTAGTTGTATGTGTGTTGGGGGAATTAGTTGTGAGGGGCAGTTAACAGTAAAGACAAGTAGAATTAGTTGTGTGGGGAATAAGTTGTGTGGGGGAATTAGTTGTGTGAATGAATAACTGTGGGGGAATTAACTGTGTGGGGGAATTAGCTGTGTGGAGAAAACTGCATTAGGAATTTTTTATCTGGGAGAATTAGTTGTGTGGATGAATTAGCTGCATGGGAGAATTAGTTGTGTGGATGAATTAGCTACATGGGAGAACTATTTGTGTGAAGGAATTAGTTGTACAACAGTAAAGACAAGGAGAATTAGTTGTGTGGAAGAGTAAACAGTAAAGACAAGGAGAACTAGTTGTGTGAGAGAATGAACAGTTAGGAAGAATTAGTTGTGTGGGAGAGTCAACAGTAAAGATAAGGAGAATTAACTGTGTGGGGGAATTAGCTATGTGGGAGAATTAGCAACATTGTGCAACTATTGTGTGTAATCATATTTCAAAGGTATTTTTCCCGGGTTATACAGGAGTGTTAGGAAATGAACTGGCAGACAGACTGGCTGGTTCTGCATAACTGGATGGTGATTTTATGCATGTGAAACTAGATGTAACTGACTTAGAAAGCATGCTGAGGAAGATCAGAACAGGTATGCTTTGTGCAGAGTGGCATGCTTCGCTGCAGAGGACACGGGTGAGGAGTATTGTCTGGATTTTTTCACCTGGGCACGCCGGTGTGTTGGGAAATGAACAGGTGGACAGACTTGCTGGCTCTGCACAACTTTATGGAATACTGAAACATGACAGGGCAGACGTGGTTAGTGCCTTGTGGAAGAGCGTGTACAGTTCGGAGGAGCAGATGGATCACCAGTCTGATGAGACTGATGCAGGGGGAGTGACGAGAGGTTCTGGCAGATGCTCGAGGCTCAAAGGAAAGGCAAGTTTAATCAGAATGCTACTGGCATCTTTAGTATCGGAACTCTTCGCTGGCTGTTGAAGATGGATACGCAGCATTTATGGGAGTGCCCCGAGTGATGCAATGTTGGTTCTTGAATCAAATCAAATCAAATCAAGCTAGATGTAGTCAAGGCCCTTTGACAGAAAGTGAACAATGCAGAGGCACATATCAATCATTATGTTCTGGAGAGAATGCTACAGCTGGGAGTGAGCAGGGGATGTGATTGACGTTATACACTCTGCAAGATCAAACTGCTACTGGCCTCATCAGGATGGGAACTCTTTGCTGGCTGCTAAAGATAAGGATGGAGCACCTTTATGAATGTCC